TGTCCCTTTTGTAATACAAATGGCAGCATATTCTGCACTTAATTTTTTTTAAATTTCAGTTATCATACAGGGCAATATTGGTTTCAGGACTGGTTTCACTGATACAATTCAGTGATTCATCACTTACATACAATACCCAGTGTTCATCACAAGTGCCCTCTTTAATACCCATCACCCATCTAGACCATCTCCCACCCACCTCCCTATATGAACCCTCAGTTTGTTTTCTATCGTTAAGAGTCTCTTGTGTTTTGTTTCTTTCCCACTTCCCCTTTCCATATGTTCATCTGTTTTGTTTCTTAAATTCCACATGAGTGCAATCATACTGCATTCTCTGACTTATTTCACTTAGCATAATACACTCTAGCTCCATCCATGTCATTGTACGTGGCAAGATTCCATCCTTTTTAATGGCTAAGTAATATTCCATTGTAGATACATTACATCTTCTTTATCCATTCATCAGTTGATGGACATTTGGGGTCTCTCCATAGTTTGGCTATTGTGTGTTTATTTAAGTTTTTTTCTTTTAAGTTTATTTTGAGAGAGAGAGGGTGCACATGTAAGTGCAAAGAGAGAGTCGGGGAGGTCAGCAAGAGAGGAAGAGAAAGAGAATCCCAAACGGGCTCTGCACTGACATGGTGCTTGAATTTATAAACCGTGAGATCATGACCTGAGCCGAAATCAAGCATCAGCCACTTAACTGACTGAGCCACCCAAGTGCCCCGAATTTGGCTATTGCTGCTATCAGACACTGGGGTACATGTCCCCTTTGAAATCTGTATTTTTGCATCCTTTGGGTAAATACCTAATAGTGCAATTGCTGGATAATAGGGTAGTTTTCTTTTTAGTTTTTTGAGGAACTTCCATACTGTTCTCTAGAGTGGCTGCACCAGTTTGCATTCCCACCAGCAGTCTGAGCTTCCTTTTTAATCACTGAGTATATCCCGGTAATTTTTCCATATTAGTACCTGGAAGCACTCCTAATCATTTTTGCAGCTGCATAGTGTCCCATTTATTTATGGGTGTGTGTGTGGGGTATGTGTGTGTGTTTGTGTGTGTGTGTGTTTATCATATGTGGCATGCACCCAGATAAACTGTATTTAACTAGATCAAACCAACAGACATTTAGTTTCCTTCCAATCTTCTGCCATTATAAACAATGCATCAGTGGACACTGCTATTGGGTAAAGGGGTTTAATAGGATTTTGATAATTTGTATGTCAATTTGTTTAAGCACCACCCAATCTTGAGGAATTCTATTATGGGTAGTGTTAAAAACATTTTTTGAATACAAGGCAATGCTGGATTTGAAAATGTTTTTCATTGTTTCCTTTAAAGGCCACAGGGAGAACCTCTGTTCCTTAGTGCTATTAGCACGGAAAGGGTTTTTTTTCCTCACTAGCAAGAAAATACAATTTTAAGAATGTTTATTTTTCCTAAAAATCTTTTAAGATGCTCATGTTAAATGATAAAACTGGGGGACCCCTCCTCTGAAAACAGGGTAGCTACTCTGTACTCCTGAAGTGAGCCTAGAATCAAATCCTCTTTGCTTCATATTCTTTTCACATAATTTTCTAGCATCACGGTTATAATCCTCTATCAGCTGAATACCGTTACCCATTAAACAGGTCTATCCCATCAAAATCTGTCTTAGAACAGTTTTCTTCTACCCTTCTCCTAGTGAAAAGCAAATGGCCTCTAATTATGATGTGTTCCCATTTCATTCAACCTAGCAAGAAGTCTAGGGATGTCCACAGCAATGAGATGGTGCTAAAACCCAGCTACATCTATTAACCTTTCAGGACCTAGGGATGCCAAGAGTCCAAAAGGAGGTAAAATAATAGCTTCACAGCTGAATTGGAAGCAATGTTAGTCACGGCAAGCTGGCACCTTCTGTTTTCCCTGACAATACTTCCAGAGGGTGGTGAATGCTATGGTTGGGGAGGGACAACTGAAGCCAAATTTTGAGGAAGACTGCCAACTGCTGCCACTGGGAAAAAAGGCATTTAACTTGTTGGAAGTCAATGACAACTGCTAATATACACTGAAGGAGAGTGGAGGGATCCAAATCCTTGTTTCTGTGATGGCACCATGACACCAGTAAAACCTGAGAGGGCAAAAATCAGACTTTCCTCATCTTTACTAAGTTACCCAGGGATCCCAAGAAGTCAAGATCACTTAAAAAGGGAAGATCCTCGGTAGAGCAACAAAAGTGTGTAACGTTACTCATTTAATATGACATGTCCTGCTAATTTCTCCCCAACCCTCCACAGAAGTTGCCCTGGGGAAGGCTCCAGCAATCTCTTCACTGTCATATCTGAAAACAGTCTTTCAGTCCTCATCTTGCGGTCCCTGAGAAAACTGAAAGGAGTCCTTCTTCAGACTTGCAAAGTCCTTTCTGCCCAGTTTCCAAGCCACTCTCTGTGGGGTCTTCTTTCCTCTTTGGGGACTCCTTTTCCATTGGTCCAGCCAGTTTCTCCTCAGGCACATGTCTGTGAGTATCAAGCTCTCGAGCTCTGCCTTTATACAGATCTAAGCCCTCACTCAGTTTCAACTATGCTCTCAGCTCCCCAATCTGTCTTCTGCCCAGGCTTCCAGACCCTTCAGGTGGCACAGAAAACTTATGTCAAAAAATTGAACTAAATCATTTTCTGCCCCAAATTTGTTCCTCCTACAATTCTTCTCTCCATTCTGTCACCCTCATCTCCTCCTTTGCCCAACCTCACTCTTCACACTCTCAGAGTTCTAGAAATTCTCTTTAATATACCTGAACTGCTCTCTCTCTTCCCCCCACTGCTGAATTTCCTCCCCTACCTGATCTCCTCCATCCTCCAATTAAGTTTTTTCACACTTTTACATTGATAACTGTATGTGTCTATACTGTATACATTATTCTAATGTAATTTTATAGGCCACAGCCAGGAACCCAAGTGGGATTTAGGCGGACTGTTAAAAAAACACTTTCACTTCAACTTTAACCATGTTACTGCCATTACTCCGTCAGCAACTACCTGCCTCCCCCTTGCTCCTCGGCACAAAATGTTAGAACTTCTACAATCAGACTCCTTTTCTCTGGGTTCTACCCCACAGTACCCCCTCTCCCTCAGTCACACCACACGCACTGTCATGAACATAGCAAGCTTTTTCATCCCTCCATGCTTTGTTCACACTACTGCTTTGACTCCTTCCCTACCTCGGGTGGACTTTATCATCCTTCAGCTTATAGGGATTATCACCTCTCTGAAGCCTCTCTTGATCTGTGAATACTGCCTATGAAAGGGTCCACTCCCTCCTTTGGTCTCCTATCATATTTCCTAGTGCAGCATCTATGTTCCCTTATTCCATTTATTTGTGATGTAGACAAAGCACAATAATTTTCTTTCGAGTGATATTATTCAAACATAAGGAAATTGGGGATAGATAGGAAATTTTGGCCATTTCTTTCAAGGAATTTATAATATAATTAAGAATTTGGGTTAGAAGTAATTAAAAAAACACAAAGTCATGTTTTCTTTTTATGAATATATTTTCCTTAAAGTATTTCATTTATTTACATTTAAAAATAATGACATACACTCCCAAAATCTCAGCTTTGGTTTGATAATCACAACCTATGTGTGCTTATCAAGAACTAATCAGGGGTGCCTGGGTGGCTCAACTGATTAAGTGTCTGACATCGGCTCGGGTCATGATCTCACGTTTCAGGCGTTTGAGCCTCACATCAGGCTCTGTGTTGACAGCTCAGAGCCTGGAGCCTACTTCAGATTATGTCTCCCTCTCTCTGCCTCTCCTCGCTCACACTCTGTCTCTCAAAAATCAATAAACATTAAAAAAAAAAAAAAAAGACAAAAAAGAACTAATGAAACCCATCATTCAATCAGTATAAAGGAGTACTACTTAGCACACTTTGAGAGGCATGGTAGGTGATCAGTAAATTAGTGAACTGGAGAGCAATTTATATGTCTAGAAACATATGTATGTTATGTTTATACACATATATAGCTCATTTTCCAGATCTAGGTTACTAGAAGTTTGCTTGAAATAATGGTACACACATTTTAATATATTATTTCAAGTAAACTCCTAGTAACCTAGATCTTAAGAATGAGTCTAATTATTTATCAACTAAATTGTTCTTTTTCTAAAGTTTTCATGAGGAAAATTTCAAATGTACAAAAACAGAGTGTAGAATAACAAAAGTAGAAAGGATAGTATAATGAATCCCATGCAGCTATAACAATTATCAGTCAATAGCCCATCTTTTTTATCTATACTCCCATCCTCCCCTGAGATTATTTTGAAACAAATGCCTGATACCAGGTCATTTTATAAGACAATTTTTGTAAGTCACTTTTAACCTCCTCAAGGGTTAAGATACCAGCAAAGGGCTATTGCCCATAGTTGGTTGGATGTCACAATACCTAACCAGATCCCTCAAAAAACATCAGGCACAAAAACTGTGATATAGGACATCCAGTTATAGCAATTTCAAGTGTGATCCCTTTAAGTAAATGATAAACAATTATCTATGCTTAAAAGTCTGTTAAACTGGGGAACACTACATTAACAATAAATTCCAGTTAATAAAAGTTCTGTTCCCTTATTTTTCTTTCTTCTAGCAAAGTAACTTTCAGATAAAATCTTCTTATTCTTTAAAGGTGTGTAATCATTACATCAACATTTTCCTATTAAAAATCTGACTTGAAGTTCTCTTACTGACACAAACAGAAAAAAAATATTTTAAATAGAAACATGAACCTAAGTACCAGTACTGGGTTTCAACCCTTAAAGAGTAGAGTAATAAGGTCTAGTAAACCTTAATTTAACTGGAAAATAAAAAGACATGAACTCTAAACACTTTCCAATAAATTTCACACAGTACAGAAGAGGAAGAGAAATTTTGACATGCAAAACTAGTGTGTGGTATTTGAGCAGAGGGAAGCTGAATGGGCAACTCTTCTAATAAGACTGACAAAAAACAAGTTATAAACACTTACCTTGTTGCTGCCTAGACTGTAGAATGGGATAAGGTCTTGTCGGCTACCAGACAACTGAAGAAGAAATACAGAGGGTGTTAGTCCTTTATGCAAGAAGTATATAAACCTACAGTCCTGGAAATACAAGAATTTGAAAACCAAATCAACAGGACATTAAAGTCTGGTAGCAGAGATGTTGTGGAGAACAAAGCTGTATGCCAGGCTAGTGTAAACTTCGGGATGTTATTAGGCACAATTTTTTTTTTAACTGAATGGAACTTTAAGGCAAGAAGTTTGTGTAAGATCAGACACCCAGTTCACAATGAGGCAACAACTGGCAGGGCCTCAGTAAGGGCTACTTCATCTGTGTTTCCTTTTCTATTGAAAGGATACCAGATTACTGGTTATCTTACCATGTCCTGATCTTATGACTTCCTTCTTTGGGTATTCATAGCAGATGTACGGACACAAACTATTTAATTTTAAACCATAGGATTCTAAAGGCCGAACCTCTGCGGGGCGCCTGGGTGGCTCAGTCGGTTGGGCGTCCGACTTCCGCTCAGATCATGATCTCGCGGTTCATGGGTTCGAGCCCTACATCAGGCTCTGTGCTGACAGCCAGCTCAGAGCCTGGAGCCTGTTTCAGATTCTGTGTCTCCCTCTCTCTCTGACCCTCCCCTGCTCATGCTGTCTGTCTCTCTCTCTCTCTCTCTCTCTCAGAAATAAAAAAAAAAAATAAAAAAAACTTTAATGCCAAACCTCTGCAAGTATCTCTGCATTTTGATGTATCATTTTCAGAAGAAATGAGAGGATTTTAAGTTGAAATAATGTGATATTTCTTAATGCCTGAGAATGTTCCCAATCTTTCAGTCTGAGATCATCAGTGATATCATTCAGTCACTTGGAGGCCCCATGTGCCCTCCCATCTATACTCTCTCTACCTGTCACTACTGTCCCTCAAACGCTAAGGCTAAGGGTCAGCTGCTCTTTATTACAATGTTTGTACTGTGGGTTTCCTGAGTAAAATTTGGACAAAGGTAGTATTTCTCATACCCACATCTTTGTCAGAAGTAAGGAAAGGAGAGAAAAATCACAGGGCCACAATCATATTTCTTTCTGAAGAATTATTTGTATGCTTAATATGCACATAAATTATATCTATGTTTCAAAAAATAACAATAAACTGCAGACACTGTTATGAAACAAACATAACTTATTTTACTCATTTCTGCTACCCTGGATGGCCTTCCAGCAATTGAGTTTGTAAACCAGTCCAGACTTCTCGTCAACGTAAAAGTAATTAAGTTAGGCCCAGAAAATTCAAATGGCTTCCACAAGGCACTTGGCTAGTTTTGCTTTAGTTCAACACACGTACTCACTCAACATCCAGTCACTGTGCTAGGCACCGCTCATACAAAAATAAACGAGAGACATTAGAAACATGCTTGAATGGATACTTTCCCTACCATACTGGCGAGGGGAGTGGCACAGACACTACATCAGTTCGGAGAAGGAAAGGATACCCAAGATGAGCGTTATAAGGATGGAGAAGAGTTATCCAAGCAAATAGGAGCAGGGAAGGAGAGCCCAGGCAGCGCACAGAATGGGGACCATGTACTCACTCTGTTCACATTCGGAGAGCTAATACTCCTCCTGCTCAGCTTCCCCTTTCCTGTCAACTGCTCCTTCACTGTGACTTCCTGTCAGAAAACGTACACAGGAAAAACACATATCAGAGACACACCTCCAAAGCAATAGCGTGTAAAGCAGTCTTTGAGATACGATCTCTACATACATGTTCCTAGTTCTTTAAATAATGACTGTTACTTCACACAATGGAATGACCCAGTTCCAATCATTGTGGAATATTCAAAGTTAATTATGTAGCTGTTGGTTACCTAGATCATTCTTCTCTTTATCTTCTGATGGCCCCCTTAAAGCAGGCCAGAACTTAGTTCCAGGAGTAAGATCATGAAAATTAGACCATTCACTTTTATTTTTCATTAGGATCTTTGGTTAAAAACAGTAAAAGTCTCAATACTGCTACATAAAATGAGGTTTAAGATTCCACTAAGGATTAGGTTTACTGCTGGCATCTCTATTATCCCTTCTAGAATACCACTCTAAGGCTGTGCAGACACATCCAACTAAGCAAAGAAGGGCCCATTCTGCCTCATACCTACGTATTTCTTCCACGAAAGAAATTTTCTCCCTTTAACTCAAGGCAACTAGATACCATTTCATGTGCTGGGAAAAGTAACTTCCCAGTATAGCTTTTGTATGTTCCAAGACTTCACTGGTGAGTTTAATCTAAATTAATATGCTCCACTTAAACAGCTGCTCCAAACATTTAGATGTAACAGTCCTGCAAACTGTAGAATGGCGAAGATAATCAGGCTGGGTCAGCACCACTGTTACCAGTTCTGTTGGCTAACCTGGCGAAGACGATCTAAAGTGAGAAGGTTCTCCACAGCCAGCACACTTCTGAGGTATTTTTCAATATAAGCCTCTGAGTCAGCAGAAGCTGTGTTTTCAACATTGGCTGCCATTCTTGCTAATGTTTCTCGTTCCTCTACTCCCTGGGCATCCTGGAGAACAGAAAGTTGTGTATTAAAATTAAGTACTTTGTAGAAGAAAACACAAAAGCTTCTTGATCTATACAAATACACACACACAGAGTACTAAACTAAATGGGATATATTCCAAAACTCCATCTTACTGCCAGTTTTTGGAACTCAAAATGCATTTTCCCACAGAAATTACGGTATAAATTGGTGGTTAGGTTAACTTGAAAGGTTAAACACAGTGCCACTGAAACAGAGCACATTCTCAATAAAATCGCCCTCTGCTATACTTCTATTGCAAACAGAAATGTTACTGGTTAGAAAGGTTTGTAGGAAATGGCTGGAAATATACAACCACTACAATACTTCAGAAATTTATCATGAGGGGCAAGAGAGAAGAACAAGAAGCTGGGGTGGCAGCAAGACAGGGGTTGGGTCCAAACAACTCTAGTAGGGGGCAGACAGGCTTTCCACCCCTTCCCATACCAGCAGACCACGGATTACACATTCAACACGTGGCAGCTTCTAAAGCTGGTCTTAGTCCTCAACTCTGGCATGAGAGAAGCCAAAGGCAGTATGGCACCCACTAAGAAGAAAAGTATCCCAGGGAATTCTTACTCTCTGTGCTCTCGCCAAGAGCCTGCCCCTGCTCCTCTGACATGGGCGGCCCGTGCAGATAAACAAGATGTTCACAAGTTAGGGAGAGACATTATTAATGTATTTAATCATGTCAGGCAAGCTTGTCTCCTAACAAATTACTCTTCTCAGAGAAAATCTGATACTTTATTTACTTGCAAATTTGTTAGAATTATGTCAAAAACCACAAAATATAAATCCATACGCCACTACATCTTAAGATGCCACCAACTTTAAGGGAAAAAGAAAACACTATTTTATATACCTCTAAGGAGAAAAGAAAAAACTCTGCCAATTAATTTTTTAAGATATCAGTTATTAGATACATTCTAAAATCAAAAATATTTTTAATATTTAAATAAGCTTTAAGAACAGATAAAAGATGGAAGAATTGGGAAGGTGGCTTAAGTTCACAAAACTTCTGTCTCCTACAATGATTCATTTGAGCCTTTTAATAACTCTGAAAAGAAGCAATCATCCTCATTTCACGGATGAGGAAAGGGGAAGGCCATGTAATTGGCAAGAGAGGCAAGATTAAGAACTTAGGTCTCCTGATATTCCTGACAGAGTAGTCCTTTTACCTCTCAACACACAATATTTTTTGGTGTCTGAAGGGAACAGGCATTACCCTGATTTTATAAGAAAGGGGAAACTTCAGTTTTATAGAAACAGATACACTCATGTTATCCATGCCCCTATCAAGATACAAAATATTTCCATTGCCTCAGAAAGTTCACTTACGCCCTATCCTTCCCCCAAGGTGAGGTTATTTCTTTCACCACAGATTAGTTTCACCTGTCTTAGAATCTCACCTAAATGGAATCATCCTTTCTTGCATGTGGCTTCTTGTATTCTGCATAATGATTCTGGGATTTATTGAAGAAGTTCATTTCTTTGTGTAGCTAAGTAATGGTCTACACTATGGATAAACCATAATTTGCTTATCCATTCATCCACTGGTGGATGTTTGGATCATTTCCAGTTTTGGGTTCCTCTGGATTAAGCTGCTATGAGCATTCTTTACACATCTCTATGGACACACCTGGTCACTTCTCTTGGGTAAGCACCTAGAGGTGGAATTACTGGGTCCTGGGATAGACAGGTGAAACCATTTCCTTTTTTCTGGCCTATCATCAGTTCTTTTTGCCACCAAACTCTCATAGCTGCTATAACAGGGAACACAGAGAACTTCTTGAGGATTTTTTTTTTTTTATGATGAAACCTAGTTCCTTCAGGAATTTTTTTGTTTCTAAATAAAAAATAAACTAAGTGTAGTCCTTTCCCTGTAAGTTTTAAGTCTCGCAGTTCCTTTTTCTTTATCATCAGGATTTGATAATGTGAAAATAACACTTGCCAACTTAGATGTTTAGCTAATTATTAACAGGCAGCCCAATCACATTTGGCCATACGCTTCTCTCCCAACAGATCTCCCTGCATTTCCTCCCTTTGAAAGCTGTATCACTCAGAGAATAAAAGCACCTTTAAAGAGGATAAGGAACCTACAGTTGGGAGGGGGTGAGAGACAAGGGGATGGAAGATGAGAGAAATGAAAAAATGGAAGAGAGTTCACTACAGTGGCCACTGTTTCTCAACTGCATTCAAACCATGTATAGAGTATGAAACAACCAGAAAGACATAAAACATTCAGACACAGAATAAACAGTGAGTCTCTTGCCGAGCATATAAGTATACAAAGAGTCATCGACTAAAGACCCAAGATTTTGCAGCTAGTCTAACTCTGAAAACAGACTTATTTCTAAAATGTGCAGTAGGCTCCAAATTTAACAGTTAAATGGCTAATACTTACAATCAAGTCTAATGCTTTGGAGATCCAGTACAAGACTTCTTGTGGTATAAGAAATCTAAAGCAGAGCCTAAGCACTATATAATCTTTTCACCATTCCAAAAACTCACTGCATTAAAACACATTTTGTCCACCTACTGTTCAAATACTCAATAGAATTAACAACTTCCAGCAGTCAAAAATGAAGAGCATAATGGTGCTATGGATGGTGTGGTTAGCAGAGAGTGTCTTCTCCCAGCACACTTTCCCATTCTTTACTCCCAAGGAAAGTATAATCTGCACCTCCTCACCCACTCCTCGATTCTGGACAGTGAGCATGACAGAAGGGATTGCTCTGCTTTCCCTTTTGCAGAGTCCTTTCCTAAGAACCCTCATATCCTCCTACCCCGTAAGGAAGGCCTCCATTGCCAGCTGTGCCAAACACCAGGTGAATAAATCTGGGATTAAATATTTGGAGGCAAATGTAAACTACATCGTCCAGCAAGCTTCTGTCAGGGGGTATTTTAAACTCCGTTTGTTTGATTCCTATGACTCTCTCAGTTCAGAAAGGGAAATAAGTAGAGGAAAATAATAATAATAGGATCTATAATAATGGCAATTTCAATTTACGGTTGAGTGTGTGCACAATAACTTGTATACACAGTCTCATTGAATCCTTAAAAAATAACTCTGTACAGAAGATATTACTAACCCAATTTGATAAATGAAAAAATTGAGGCTCTAAGTAACTCACCAAGTGCACCTCACTGAGAGGTGACAAAAATAAGATTTCTGTGTGATTCTAAAAGGAAAGTTTAAATCTCTGTTTTGCTCTATGTTGCTTCGTTATGAGGCTTATGATATTGTTATCTTATGTCCACTGGGAATGAAAAGGAGTGCTGTCTTTTGAGTATTCATTTGCTTTTCAAAAAAAGTTCTTCTTTAACAAAATACTAAACCTTTAAAGCCACAAGTACATTTTACTATGAATCACATTAAGATTAGGAAATTCCTCTACAAACCTACAGCATTTTCCTAAACACCCATTTCATGGACTATGTATTTCTTGGATAGGTGACTTTTCAGGGACTTAGCTCTTTTTACAAGTCTAGTTTTAGTAAACTCAAATTTCATACGATTGTTCACCTCTGGAATATTGGAGACAATTTCAAAAGTCACTCCACAGCCAGGAATAGAACTTCGATGTGACATCTTTTTTAGGAGACTCTGAGCAAAACCCTAGAGAAAAACAAAACAGAAAGATATGATTTCCTACCTCAAAAACTGAGTGTTCATTAACAAAGCATAAGGAATACTGCATTCATTCTAACCAAAAAGAAACAGCAAATTTCCAACATAAGCAAGCTGAAATCCAAATCACTAAATACAGGACTCCTCAAGTTCATTTTAGTGCACAGAACCAATTTATTAGATTCTTGCCATGTGACAGGTCCTATACCTATACAGGCTACAGAAAAGACTGTTGACTTCAACACAATAAAATGACCTTCTAAGATGTAAGCGAGAACTGGTACTCTTTTTTTTTTTTCCAGTACAATGGACATCTTGCAGCATGAATATTGACAAGTTCAGGCATTAAATTCTTGACCAAAGCAGGATCGTTATGAAGAATGATTTAAGAGTGCATGGTCATTGTTTATGCTGACTATGCTCTTTGCACAGTTAAGAATTGAACTGTTGAATTAATGCATAGATGACTCATTTGAAGATGCTGCTAAGACTGAACATCCTGTAGAGGTTGAAGAGAGCAGTGATGAGGGCAGAATATAATTGGTGAATCAAGATAATAAGAAGAGAGAATATTAAACTGACGCCTAACCTTCTCCTTCATTCAAAAGGGAAGCAGGAAATATGTGAACCCCCCCCCCAAAGAAAACAGAAAAATCCAGCTGTTTGGTCTGAGAAGTACATAACCTACTTGATAATTATTTTTCTCCTCTTCACTGCTCTATAGTTAATATTTTAAAACAGTGTAGGTTTTATGGGGCACCTGGGTGACTCAGTTGGTTAAGCATCTGACCCTTGATTTCAGCTCAGGTCATGATCTCCCAGTCTGTGGGTTGGAGCCCCAAGGCGGGCTTGTGCTGACACCATGGAGCTTGCTTGGGATTCTCTCTCTTCCTCTGTCTCTGCCTCTCCCCTGTGTGCTCTCTCTCTCTCTCTCTGCCTCTCACAAAATAAACAAACAAACATGAAGAAAAAAATAAGAATAAAAATTTTAAAATAAAATAAAAACTGTGATTTTAGAAGGCAAAGAGACCACTGATTGCAGCCCTTCGCTCTACCAACTTGAGCCTTGCAATGCTGAGCCACTGCCAATTACATTGATCGGTAGCTCGGTAGGTTTTTTTAACAGGTGGGGAGGGGAGGTGTGGGTACTGTTGTTACCTCACTTTTTGTTTTCCTTTTGTGTGGGAACTGTTGAAACTGATCTGCATATATTAGCGTCATAAGGAAGTCCCAGTCCTTGCTATAAAGAAGCAAGTTTTAGGAATGAAGTATCTGAAATTGGGAGGGAAATTGGCATAGCCTAAAATACTATGTCATTCAGTATCAACTTGATAATGTCAAGTCATTTCAACCAGGGAAAAAATGTGGCAACTTCTTGTCCCTATAATACAAAATTAAATTAAAAACAAATCAAAGAAACATACACACACACACACACACACACACACACACACACACACAGAAGGAGCTAGGTGATGTCATGATGCACCTTTTCTGTTAAGGATTCTGTGGTACTGTTGGCTGTCCCAAGGCAGTCTCAGTGCCTGGCAACCAGAACCCCTAGTTCAGGCATGGCAAATCACTCTTCAAAATGCTCAAGAGCAACACGTCTTTTTCAATACCTTAAAGACTTCCGAGAAAAGAGAGCTGGAGAAAAGAGTGAATGGGAGCCACACCATATAAGTCTCGCTAACCCGATGACCTGGATTTTATTGATGCTGGATTGCCAAGCTAAAGAGCTGCAATTTTAACAGCATTACCGCCAGTCTTCATTTCAAAGATTGATATCAGTGTGACATTTAGAACTAAAGATTAATTTTTAGGGGTGGAGATTACATCTAGGACTCTGTCAACCATAACTGTGCTCTTTTAAATGAAAAGATTTCTTTTCATCTGTCCTGGTTTTAGTCAGTGTACTGAGAAGGCCTCAAAAAACAAAGGGGCACGGACAGTTTAAAAGAATCTCTAGAATGAGCCTCCCAAATCCTGTATTTGCAAAGCCAATGACAGAAACAGTTTATACTCTTACCTGGAAGTTTTCTACTAAGCCCAGTCACATGGCACAAGGTCCTACCTTATCCAGCTGTAATTGTGTGGCCAGGCACAGCCCTGGCCCCCACAGCACACCCGTCACACTCTGCTTCTTGTGGTCTGAGCCCGCCACACCCTGTCCCTCCTCACTACCCCTGCACGTGTGTCTTCTCTCCATGGAACAGACAATTCTTCCTCCTCTGCCTGCCGTTAGCTACTGTGCTACCCTCGTCTCTGACAACTGCTCTGACTTGCTCGATGTGAATTCTCCCTTCCCTGGCCCGCAGTCTTCTAGCACTTGGGGAGCACCGGCTTTACAGCACTAACCCAACAGAGACAGATCGCCTGTTCATATGTGTCTATGTACACCAACGGACACTAACTATTTCAAGATGCAGACTATTTCTTAACTTATATTGTTACCCAAAAGCTTGACAGAGTACATTCTCTTAATATATGAATCAGTGAATTAGCAGAGATGACTGAAAAGGAAGAAAGGTAGGTATGCAAAGCGGAGAGTAACATGTCCCTCTGTAGAGAACCTTCACATCTTGTGTGACCCAAACGAAATAAAACCGTGAACTTCACTTTGACTGGGCTCTGTGGAAGCCAGAAGAACGGTGTTAATTTGTGACTGTGTAATAAGAAAGACTCACTGTAACAATTTAATGTTGTCTAGGAGGAAGTCAGGATGGCATGTGCCAGATGAAGCAGACATAGTTACAGGACAGCAGCAGTCATGCTGAAGAGAAAATGCTCAATGCTTCACAAAGTCTGCGTGGATGAGAGGCCACAACAATCATTCCCCAGCCCGGCCCTCACGTCAGACCTGTGATTAAAGTCATTTCTTCAATATGAACAGACACTTCTCCAAAGAGGACATCCAGATGGCCAACAGACACATGAAACGATGCTCAGCATCCCTCCTCATCAGGGAAATACAAATCAAAACCACACTGAGATACCACCTCACGCCAGTCAGAGTGGCTAAAATGAGCAAATCAGAGAACTCTAGATGCTGGCGAGGATGTGGAGAAACAGGCACCCTCCTACACTGTTGGTAGGAATGCAAACTGGTGCAGCCCCTCTGGAAAACAGTGTGGAGGTTCCTCAGGAAACTAACAATAGAACTCCCCTAGGACCCAGCAATAGCACTGCTGGGAATTTACCCAAGGGATACAGAAATGCTGATGCATAGGAGCACATGTACCCCAATGTTCACAGCAGCAGTCTCAACAATAGCTAGAACATGGAAAGAGCCTAAGTGTCCGTCAACAGACGAATGGATCAAGACGATGTGGTTTATCTATACCATGGAATACTACATGGCAATGAGAAAGAATGAAATCTGGCCATGTGTAGCAACATGCATGGACCTTGAAGGTGTTATGCTTTGTGAAATAAGTCAGGCAGAGAAGGACAGATGCCATATGTTTGCAGGTATAGGAGGATTAGGAGGAACTTAACTGAGGACCATGGGGGAGAAGAAGGGGGGAAATGGTGGGGGAAAGGGAGAGAGGCAAACCATGAGAGACTCTTGAATGCTGAGAAACAAACTGAGGACTGATGGATGTGGGGGGAGGGGGGAGATGGGCATGGAGGAGGGCACTTGTGGGGATGAGCACTGGGTGTTATATGGAAACCAACTTGACAATAAACTATTTGTAAGAAAGAAAAAAAAAATACAGTCATTTCTTCAACAAGGATTAATGACTCACCTGCCGGCCATGAACATTGACACAAATTCGTTTCCGTAACACTAACTGCATGTCAGCTGGATGGCTGAGCTGGACTGTCACCCGCACAATCAGATACACTCGCTCATCTGCAGGGGTGCCTTTACTGAGCTGGGGACAGCTGTGCACTGCAGAGTCCCAAGAGGCTTCTGCTCTCACCTGCAGAGACAGAAAGAGCATACTTTTTCCTTTCCTCCTGGGGAAAAACAAACAAACAAACCTCACAAGGAAACATCTTGACTTGGCTACAGGCCTACATGCTGGTCATGAGTGCAGATGGACTAGAACCTCCCTAAAAGGCTATGGGATATGAGGATGTGGTGTCCATCACCCTAGTCTGTGAAGTACACAGCATGACATTCCTGGCTGGCTGGCTTTTAAAATCTTTTTATTTTGAAAAATGCTCAAACATAAAGGAAAGATGCAAATTCAGGACAATGAACTCCTGTGTATCTTCCATCTAGAATCATCAGCTGCTAATATTTGTCACTTATTCCTTTCTCTTTCTCACAACACATACACATGCAGTGTACTTATTTTTTTGCTGCACTACTTTAGAGTAAGTTACAGACTTTTAACTCTACATGCCTATATACATTAGCAAGTATCTTCTAATAGCAGGTACATCCTCTGACTTAACCATAGGACAATTATATTCAAGAGATTTAACACCAACACAATACTATTATATAATACATAGTCCATATTCAAATATTTCAGCTGCTCCAATCCAGGATCACTAACTGCATTTAGATGTCATGTCCCTGTAGTCCATGTCAATTGGAATGGTTCCCCAGCCTTTCTTTGTCACTCATGACACTAACTCATTAAAGAAGGGTGCAGGCCCACTGTTGTATAGAATGTATCACAGTTGGGCTTGTTGTCTTTTTTCCCTTCTAGTAAAGTTTTGCATCTTAGGAATACCACTAAGTGATAACGTGCCCTATGCATCACATCAGCTTTCCTTATTTAAACTATTTTATCATTTTTCCAATATACTCAAAAGTAGAAAATAAGCCCCCACTATACACCCATCACCCAGAGTCAAACATTATCAAGATTTTGCCACACTGGCTTCATCTTTTTTCCCTTCTTAAAAAGTTTTTACCACTGGGGCACTTGTGTAGCTCAGTCAGTTAAGCGACTGACTCTTGGTCTCAGCTCAGGTCATGATCTCACAGTTTGTGGGTTTGAGCCTCGCATCAGGTTCTGTGCTGACAGCACAGAGCTTGCTTGAGATTCTCTCTCTACCTCGCCCTCTGCCCCTCCCCTGCTCATGTTCTCTTTCTCTCTCTCTCTCAAAATAAACAAACTTTAAAAAAAGTCTTTACTAAAGAATTTCAAAGCATTCAAACATCATGTTGGTTTTTACCTGTAGGTACTTCAGTGGCATTTCCTCAGAGAATGGACCAAAGATGACCTGAACTATGAATACTAACAGGGATCCTTTACCAAGAGGAGAAATAAGTGGTAAATGGATGTAATCTGACTGTCTACTCCTGCTGGAAGTGGTTCCAATCTTTCTGGAAGTCATAATAAAAGGTTTTCATTCGTGTATCTTGACAAATGTAAGCATTAAAATGATTACATTGCTAACTGTTTCAAAAGACTCATTGAAAGGTTAAAGACTACTTTTCATCTGATTTTCCCTAATTTGCTCTGTTTACCTCTCCATCATGCTGTTTTACAATCTGGAGTTCAAAGAACTCATCCTCTTCTTCTCCAGTGAGTGTAGCATCCCATCCACCAGCTTCCGGGTCATCAAGATTATCCTGGGAACTGAAATCATCAGCTAAAAGCAAAGAAGTTCCATTAAATACAGAGATCATCTGAAAGGATAACCCTTATCAGCTAAATTTCAATGTGCTTAGTATTAAAATTCTACTGCCTCAAATTTCATTTGCTTTTGGCTCTAAAGTCTTACATGACATGGAAGAGGACCATTAAACAGTTCACAGTTCTTAGAGATGGACAGACTCTCAAGAAATTATCTTATCCAATCTCCTGCCTTTATGCTTTATTTTACATAGAAGGCAAATGAAGCCAAGATACCCAAGAGGTTATTCAAGGTCAGCCCATAAATGTTAATGATAGGATTATAACCCAAATTCCCTATCTTTGAGTGCATTGAAGAAATGAGAAGCGAGAGTAATTCCAATTATCTGACAGTTAACTTCAACAAAAGAATCAATTGGCTACATGAGCCAGAAACTTGGAGGGTTGCCCCGGGGCCCTTTAGTTACTTAGTTCTAAGCCTTGAGCTCCCAACCCCCTAACCATCTTAAGCTTGTGAGTTACCACAAGTAAGAAAAGATACCAAAAGTATCTTTTCTAGTATGTGGGCTTGTGTGGATCAAGAATGGGCAAAAGGCTGAACAAGCTCTTGACCATGTCATGGAATATCCATACAAACAGGTCTTCTATAAGCTTATTCTTTTCCACTCTTACCCTCCTCCACATACACACATAAGCACACACAAGAGCACCTCACCTGTCTAGGAACCTCACATAAGAATAGGCTGGAGTAACCCTCAGCATACAAGGCTCAAGAGAACAGGTAGGGTAGAGTTCTGTGGCAAAACACTGAAACCCCATCAAGTGAACAGACAGTGGAAATGGCTAAGTATTATTTGCTAACTCTGTGCATATAATAATTTTCCATATATCTAAATAAGTTAAGTAGTACAAAATGCTAAATACCTCAGATATAATAACTCACATTCAGAAAGGTGGAAGAAAACCACTGAGGACATCCAAGCTTGTCTATTTAGGATAGTTAATTTTAACACATGGTTTTTAGATATTTAGGAATTTAACTGCGGGCTTCTAACTTATTTTTAGCTTTTTAATCTATCTTTTCATTTTTATTTTCCTTCCTTGGACAGAGTATAGGTAAAATATAGCCACATCCAAAATATTTTACATGAAGGAGAAAAATATCAGAAAAAATTGACAGGTTCTTATAATTAAGCAATGCAGGAAAGGACATAAGAAGTCACAGAAAAACTGAGAAATTTATTAGATAATTCTAAGAAAACACCAGATAAAATAAAGCATGCTACATAAGGATCTCTTTCCAGAGAGAAGTCTTTTCTTAGGACTTAAAGAAGAAAATAATTTTAAGTACAGGAAAACACTACCACTACATCCTAACCTGATGATGATGATAACAAGGTATATGCACAACTGTATGGATTATAGGATGAAATGTGAGAACGCACCTTGATGAAACATACTTATCACTACTACAAAAAAATATTCTTACAGAAAATTCATTCTTTGTCAAGTATCAGTATCCCTCAGCATACATAAAATAGACCCTAATCTTAGGCTTACAGAATGGCCTAACTGCAAACTTTATTAGAATCCAAGTGTTACTTGGACATTAATTTGTCAGAGGTAAGCCTTCAGAAAGCACTTCCTAACTTACCATTTAAGTCAAGGAATATAACAGGAATGTGTGTTTCCATCCCAGGAACTGGGGTCCTAAAACATAATGAACAAAGAGCATCTCGAATAAAGCAGACTTTCTGAGCAGCATGTACTTTGAGACACAGTGTTAATCCACACTGAGAATAGTACAGGTCAAGCCAATAATAGCTGTGGGTATTTGTTATTATTTCACATCAGAGATGCCCCTAAACTGACCTGTAACTGCTGTTGCTTTTCATTGGTGCTCTCGTGTATAATTATTATATGTTCTGATACTAGAATTCAGTCTTCTGTTTATAATACAGCTCCCTTGTTTAAAGTTACTTTCTTATGAAATTACATACCAAAGGGCCCCATATGGCTTAATTTACTATTTTTAATTTCGATAAAGTGGCACAAAACATTTGCTGACAGTACAGTTTAAGCCAGCACCAAAACCAAAAACTCCCAGAGATGCAATTTTATTATGACCGAATGGTCTCTTAAGGGAATGACCCAAGTAATTAACATATTAACTTTTTTTTTAATGCTAAGTGCAGTGGTATTAAATATTGATTTAGATTCTCAGAAATCTTAATTACATGGGCCAATAACAATATTATTTAATAAAACACAGTTTTAGGCCATAGTTATTCCAATTCATGAAAATAATTTAACACTTCCTCTAATTCAAAAAATTTTCCCCTGTGCTATGATGAGTCTTCCATTAACTGAAACACAACCAAAATTCATACAGAAAGCAGGCAGCTCAGTGCGCAATCTGGAACATCAGAAGACATATGACGGCATTCATACCATTCTGCTGGGGCCCCTGGAATGCCACTGCCGGCAGAGGGGACCATTACTGCATTCCGCTCCTCAGTCAAGGTCAGCCTCATCTCTAGAAGTTGAGCTTCACGGTCAGCATCATCCTCTGTTTTATCTAGGACGTCAGGAATGAGGATCAAATACAGATTTCTCACTTGATATTTACATTCTGTCTATTGCATCAAAAGGATTTCCCTGCTCTTCAGTTACTCGTTTATGATGGTTCACCAAAAACTTATTACTTCTCTATTTTAGAGTGATAAAAAAAAAATCATGATAAAAAATGAACTGTAAGAGGATGACTGTACTCTTACAGAAAAGCCATCTTCGGTATATGGTAGGCCAACATGGAATCAGCACATGAATAATTCCACCCAGAGTTGAGGGATTCAAGTGCTTTTAGATAAGAAATCAAAAATGTTAGCACCCTCCTTAATTTATTTTTGAAGGACAGTGTTTACATACTATATTTTCTCTCTTTGTTGGGGGTGAGGGGAGACCTATAGGAAGATATCATTAGAGTTAAATAAATTTTTTTCTGAAAGGATATGACACAAATAAGAAACATTCCTATGGTCTTGCCATCCCCATTACTGAAGTGTTCATCTACTTCTAATTTATGTAGCTGCAAATAGAGATTAATTATGCACAGATTAGGGGTGGGGAGTAAATATTCAATTTGCTTTTCCTACCATGTTTACTGACAAGCTTTTGCAGTTGTTGATCTAAGTATTCCTGACGTTTTGTTAATGCATTTAGCCATTTTCTACGCAGTCTCTCTAAATCCCGATCCTGGAAGAAAAGGAGGGAAATTATGGCAAATATAATGGCAAGACAAAATACTTGAAACCAATGCTCTATCTACCTTACTCTAAGTCTTCAGAACTGTAAAGTATTACACATTAATATGTTTATCAGCAGTACTAGTTAACACCAATCATTATTCAGAACAGAAAGTTTCAGAAATCAAAGAATTGTTGTTCTAGAATGAGACAGCTTCTGAAAGGACATTCTCTGATACCCAGAACCAGTTTTATTTCTATTGGTTCAAGGGGCAGAACTCCAAGACTTACAACTAAGATCTACAAAGTCCTTTGCTGGATAAGAATCACAAATACTGGAGCGTCTTGCTGGCTCAGTCAGAAGAGTATATAACTCTTGATCTTGAGGTCGTAGGTTCGAGCCCTAAACTGAACATATATATTACTAATACAAAAATATGTAAATTTTTTAAAAATCACAAATACTACTCAATAATCTTCAAATTTATATCCCTGGGAACCATCATAAAAATTCCTCAAATTTCTTAACTTGTTTCAGCCTTCAACATGTTTCACTAGTCTCTACAAACAACATGTAAATGCTTCTCTCCCTTGTTTTTTGTGTGTGTGGGGTGGTTTGGAGGTGAGAGAGGGCGCTATCAACATACTAAGGACACTACCAGTCAACACCTGACTGTATACCAATCTCACCTCATTTCCTTTTGTAATAAAGTTAACAAGACTGGGTAGATCAGTGGAATGCTGAGGATACAGTGTGTATCTGGGTTTCACTAAGGCACTTAACCAAATAGCTCATGACATTCTTGTGGACAAGATGTAGAAATGTGCAATGAATCTACTTGAATGAAATCATAAATGACTGAAATATCACATCCAAAGAACGGTGATTAATGGAATAATGTCAGCTTAAAAGAAGTCTCTATTGTGTACCATAGGACTCTGTATTTAACCCTATCTGATACAATATTTTTATCAGTCACTTATAGGAAGGCAGACATTTTTATCAAATTAGAATGATGCAAAACCAGGAGAGTGACTACACTGGATGACATAATCAGGATCCAAAGAGCTCTGACAGTCCTAAGCAATGACTAGCAAGACTAACACGATAGAACTTGACAGACATAAACAAAATCTTGCAGGGATTAGGAAGGGTGGAGGGGGCAAAACCAAACCTTGTGACTCTTGGAAGTAGGGAAGGCAGACCTGGTTTAAAAGATGGAAAATACCTAAGCAGCGTGGCTTGACAGAAGCTCAGTATTAGACAGCTCTTAGAGGGAAAAGGGTGGGTGACTCTACTCAAGGAGAGAAGGAGTGCAAGGAAAAGGATCAGGAGAAATGAATCTGTAGGATGGGGAGCTCCAGGTTTGGAAAACGATGAAAGTCACAAATGATTTCTTATACATAAGTCTACAAAACTGTTTTAACTTGAGAACAGCAATATTTGAATCAAAATTAATTGTGTAATTATAAAATAAAAGTATAGTAAGAGTCAGGAATGTGTACTTCCGTGCTTTAATCAAGCTCATTTGATGAGGCTAACAGGTGTTTTCTTACCTGGTAGCTGTCCATGTCTTCCTCTTCTTCCTAAAAAATATATTACACCATAAAGAAAACAATTATTTTTCCAAGAATCAGGCTCTGCTCAACAACCAGAATCTTTTCCTATACTTTATATTTTCTAATTTAAAGAATATACTGTTTCATCTCCCACCTATGCTCACCCTCACTCTTGGCTTTATAGTTTTCAGAAAGTTGGAGTAAAACCTTAAGCTTCTCATAGGAAAGTGAAGAACACACATTTGACCTTTTCAAGAACCAGTACAATACTTTCCCTGCTGGGTTTATAGTCCCACTCCCCAGGAGAAATCAAACACCTGCTGGCAAATAGTCTTTACAAGCCAGTAGGGGGTTTCTGTAGAAGGGTGGGTGATGGGGGAAGTTAATCACTAGTAGGCACCTGAGGAATTTCTGGAGGCTGAGATGTCTTAACCCTCAGTTTGCCATGTACCAGGCAAAACCACAGCCTAGTTCAGGTACACTGATTTCATGCAAAAGTAATACAGAACAAAAAAAATTGATGCACAAATTACAAACTCAAAGGAGTGTTCACGGAAGGCAGTTTTTGGCAAGTTCCAAGAGTCTCTTATCGGAGCGCCTGGGTGGCTCAGTTGGTTAGGTGGCCAACTTCAGCTCAGATCACGATCTCATGGTTCCTGGGTTCGAGCCCCGCATGAGGCTCTGTGCTGACAGCTAGATTAGAGCCTGGAGCTTGTTTCAGATTCTGTGTCTCCCTCTCTCTCTGACCCTCCCCTGCTCAGGCTGTCTCTCTCTCTCTCTCTCGCTCAGAAATAAATAAAACATAAAAAAAAAAAAAAGACTCTCTTATCTCATTGGGTCTGTCACCAAGAATATAACTGGCACAGAAACAGACACTTACATGAAAGGCCTCAAGAGTCTTGGGGGATCTGAGTGTTCTAACTTTTACACATCCAATGCCAACAGATAGTATACATTCTTCCATCAGTGGTAAAGTCCCAGATTCCTGCACAGACTTCACTTCCACTTGGACTCTCCGGGACTGTCCCTGTATCACAGACAAATTTAAGTTTCTTAAAATCAGTTTAATTTTCAAATATTTGGTTTAGAGAGACCCCTACAGGCAGATGTTGAGAAAGCATTTAACTTTGGAGACCCTATCTCACCACATCTTGAAGTAGTAAACTACAAATTGAAAAACTAATCAGGAAAAACAATTTACCTTTTCAGCAAGTAGAGAGACATGGAGTATATGCCTTGCATATTTTTTCAATAAAAATAAACATGAAGAGAAAACATTCTAACAAAGGAAGTACAAAAAGGAAGGGACAACCAAAACTGTCCAACTCACTTATCATCAAATAAATGCCAATTAAAATAAGGACAATACACTTTTATTTTAACTTAATAAACTAGCAATTACATTTTAAAAAGGCAGTTTTCAAAATTGCCTAAATGTTATAAATCAGGCAATTATGTACATTGTTGGTGGAAATATAAATTGGTAAAGCATTCTGCAAGACAATTAGCCTTAAAAATGTAAGTATCCTTTGGCTCAGTAATTCAACTTTCTAGGCACCTGTTCCTAGTAAATAATCACATATGCATATAAAGATATTAAAATAATGTTAATAACAAAAAACTATATATAATAAATGTATAATATTGACTACTGCTTAAACTACAGTATATAAATATAAAATATTTCTACAATCATTAAAATATTGCTGTAGAAAAACATATATGATATATTAAACTAAAGAGTATGGTAAACAATGTTAATGAGACTTAAAAAAGAAGAGATTATAGAAAGTATGATCTACTTTTAAAAATAAGCAGAGTAAGAAGTAAGAAATGATTACCACTGTCCTGGCTTCACTGCTCTAATCCCAAACAATTTAAAACCATGCTGCCAAATGAAGAATTGAACAGAGAGAAGCTGTTTCTTCTTAAACATATTTTCATAATAAATACTACATGATCCTATATGTTTACAATGAAGTAGTATTTTAAAATTCCCAATATTCCCAAATTACTGACTTCAAATTTAGCTTATAAATTTTAGGGATGTAAAACGGAATTTGAACAATGAAATTTGAATATACAATTTTAAATCAGTTACTCTTCCCCTCTTCTATCAGATTTTTAATTCCCAAGAGCTCTGCGTTATCAGGGAAATCAACTTGGGCAATGATCAATCCGAAGGCTAGATTTTAAGAGATGGGTTACAGATGTCTTTTGATTTAATATTTTCCAAGGACTATGCATCACATATTTTGTGGAAAGAATAGCCCAGAAAACATTTTAATTGTCTAAAATAGTTTAGTCATTTCAATTAGCTACATTTGTTTGCTTACTTCCCCAGGACAAAAGTAACCTACTCTCCATGGGTGACCACATGTGAAGGATGAAGTACAGGCACTATGTGGGGAGAGGGTTCAAGGTAGGCAGAAGGAAGAAAAGGAGAGAAAAGACCTGGAACAGCTTACTGTCTCACAGAAAAGCTTTGAACACTATACTTAAACTAACAGATTGAACTTCGTGTAACTGCTTATATTTGAGCTTTTACAAGACTGTCAGTTTTATATGATGAACCTAATTGGTTCTCCTCTGCCACTTTCCTCTTTGAGAACAGCACGTTCTGGTTTTTAAATATATTAAATTCAAGTGAACCTACCATCTAAGGCCCCCTATGAACTAGCTGCCACATGTTTCCATAACCTCCTCTGTCACTGCTTTCTAGCTCTTCCTACAATATTACCTTCTACCCACTTACCTAATTCCAACTACTGCATCTTTATTCTTGCCATTTATTTATGAAAAACCTTTCCAGCGTTTGCTCTACTGTTTCAGTATCCAGGTCAAGACCCATACCCTTCAGAAAGAGCCCTTCCTGATGAACTCAACTCATCTTTTAACACTTTTAGTAAAGGTTGTCAGAAATATGACAAATACTTATCTATTCTATTTACACCAAACCACAGGAAATTATCTGGTCTTGCCTTCCAGGCAATGAGTTTCTAAGGCATCCAAAGAAGATGTGTGTGTATGTATATATATATAGCTGTAACAGATGTTCAGAAAAAGATGTTCCTCACACCCTTGAGAATCCTATTTTATGTATATATCTGATGTTATAATTTAAACTAATTTCCTTTTGCTTTTAGATCTTTGCCCATGTATGAATGAATTTGCTAATATTTGTTTGCTAGGGTCAGAGAAAAAGTGCTTATCACCTTTCTCCTTCTAAAACAGTCAGAAACTTAAATATTTAAGCAAACTTTCTTTTTCCTTTAATCTCTTCTCATATTTTGCTTTGAATGATTTCAACATTCATTTCTCAAAAGCTATTCCAATACTTTACTATTGTTCTAAAGTCTGGAAACTTTTAGGGACACCTGGGTAGCTCAGTTGGTTAAGCATCTGACTCTGGATTTTAGCTCAAGTCATGATCTCAGTTTTGTGAGATTGAGCCCCAGGTTGGAAGCCTGCTTGGGACTCTCTCTCTCCCTCTCTCTCTGCCCCTCCGACACATGCATGCTCTTTCTCTCTCTCTCTCAAAAATAAATAAATAAATAAAGTATGGAAACTACCATAGAATACAATATTCTACTGAATATTGAATTAATGTAAGGTATAGCAAAAAAACAGTATTTCCAGCTCTTATATGTAAATTCTATTAAGATATTCTCTCTGTAGCTGGCAGCGTAGACACTTTAAAGATTACAGTCTGCCTGCAGTGAAGTGAAATTTCCCACATATTTCTCGGCTGTATTGATTTCTAGCAAATATTCATAACTACTCAGCTGCATTTATTTAACATCTCCTAAGGTACCATAGAAAGATACTTATTTGTCCTCAGATCCTGGCAAGAGCTCCTAAAACTCTCAGAACCTCCTGAGTGATAATGATTATAGGTGTATCTTTCAATGATGCAACTTTAAATCTTATGATCCTTGGCAAGCCCCTAGATAACTTCAGGAGAGGGGCCAGTAGTCAAAAACAAAAAACAAAAAAACCGAAGCCTTGACTATAAGTCTGGAACTGTCAGCTCCACCCCAAAACCTCAGGAGACAGTAGAGAAAGGACGGAGATTGAGTTCATCATTCATCAGTTATGCCTACATAATGACCATCCATAAAAACCTACAAACAATGAGGTTCAGTGAGCCTCTGGTTGGTGAACAAATCAAGGTGGTGGGAGGGCGGCATACACAGAGAGAACACAGAAGCTCCTTATCCCTCCTCCCATACTTTGTCCCATGCAACTCTTCCATCTGGCTATTCCTGAGCTGTATTCTTTATTTAAAAAACAGGGAAATAGTAAGTAAAGGGGAGGAAAGTTGGGCGAACCCTGACTTTGTAGCCTAGTTGGATAGAACTGAGGACCAGATACTTGCAACTGGCATCTGAAGTAAGCGCAATCTTGTGCTGAAGTCTGAGCCTTTAAACCTGTGGAGTCTGACACTAACTTTGGGTGAACTGAGGTTTCAATTCAAACCAAACTGAACTGTAGGACACCCAACTGGTGTCTACAGAGAATCAGAGAATTGGGTGGTGTCCAGAGGGAAAAAAGCCCTTTTACCTCCCCAAGTATTAAGCACTGTGCTTCATGTACAGTATCTCTAAACCTCACACCTGTTCTACAAGGAAAGGTTCTGAGAAGTGACTGACCTTGCTTACAGATTTATAGCTAGGCCGTGGGAGACCAGAACTGAACCCTGGCATGTTAGACTGCGAAGTGCCTGTTCTTTCTACCATGTCACAGTGCTTTTCCATGTCTTTATAAATATTCTGATGCTGCCTGATGTTTCTATTGTTGCCCACAATTCAGTTCTAAGTTGTTCTTTCAGCTTACCTTTTTTCTTACGTAAACCTATCAGATGCTGGTTTTAAAATATTATAAATAGTAATATTTTTTTTCTTAACATTTATTTATTTTTGAGAGACAGAGACAGACAGAGCATGAGTCAGGGAGGGACAGAGAGAGAGAATCCAAAGCAGGCTCCAGGCTCTGAGCACAGAGCCCGATGCAGGGCTCGAACCCACGAACCGTGAGATCATGACTTCAGCCAAAGTCAGACGCTTAACTGACTGAGCCACCCAGGTGCCCCACACAGTAATATTTTTTTAAATGAAAGAAAATAGACATGAAGTAGGAGACAATTTTAATACAAAAAATGGACTTGGCCAGTCTAGATTTCATTATCACTAACATTTCTGTTAATAGGAATCCAATATTAAGCTTTATGGTGCCAAAGAATTTAATGTTAACATTCAGAATGATAATATTCACAATTTTGTTACCTGCCGGAGTTGAAAGATTCCTCCTGTTGGCACATCTTTTGCAGAAATCACTTCTACAGGGCAGTATTCACCATTCTCATTCTGTTCCAAGATTTGGACCCAGAATTCCACTTTTCTGGTGACTTCACTCCATCTAGGAAATAGGTGAAGTTCTTGGAAAATCATACATTTCTAGTTCAACACAGACAGCTTAGGATTCTTCACATGACAACTAACAATGATAATGACCTCCAAACAGAATAATTCAGTAGAATGATCTGATTCAGTGGGTAATATACAAACACATACTAGCACATATAATTAAAAGCAAAGTTAAACAAATTTAACATCCGAACCAGAAATAGTTCTTTATTTCATTGATAACAGGGAGCTTGGGTGACTTAGTCAGTTAAGCGTCTGACTTCAGCTCAGGTCATGATCTCATGGGTCATGAGTTCCAGCCCTGCACTGTGCTCTGTGCTGACAGCTCAGAGCCTGTAGCCTGATTCGGATTCTGTGTGTGTGTGTATCTCTGCCCCTCCTCTGCTTGAATTCTGTTTCTCTCTCAAAAAAAAAAAAAAATAAACGTTAAAAAAAAGATATAATTATAAATCTATTTCAAAGTGGTTATTCAAAAATCCAAACACGGTAATCAGATGTACAGAAGCAAGTACCATGATTATCTTTTCATAGATAAAGGTAGTGCTATATATGCTTTAGTAACTTGACAAGTATCTTTGCTTAAGTTAATAAAAGAAGAAAAAAATCTCAATGTCTAAGTTTAGGAGTTGCTAAAACTTTCTACATGCAAGAAAAGAAAATCTGGTTCTCTTCTATAATAAGATGAAAAGCACAAATATATACTCTTTCAGTCATTCCCTTTCAACTCTTCTTTTTAAAAATCCTGGTCAACAAATAAGCCTGCCTCCTTCTATGACGGATGGCATTTCACACTTGATCTTAGCCAAAAGGCTGAGAAGCAATGACTGATGGCATTTCAAAAGAACTTTGAGCTAAAGACAAAATAAGTAAAACCTGAATACTAACGTATATCATGATCCATTCTCCCTCTAATGATTAATTAGAAGTAATTCAGAATGGGATGCCTGGGTGGCTCAGTCATTTAAGCATTGACTCTTGGTTTCAGCTCAGGTCAAAATCTCAACAGTTTCATGGGTTCAAGTCCTACATTGGACTCTGCGCTGGCAGCGTGGAGCCTACTTGGGATTCTTTCTCTCCACTTCTCTCTCTCTGCTCTTTCCCTGCTTGCACCATCCCTGTCTCTCTCAAAATAAATAAACTTTAAAAAAAAAAAAAAAGAAGTAATTCAGAATGATAAGCAACTACTCTCCAAAAATTCATTCACTTTTTATTCTTAACTACCCACACTTTTAACTTATCTTCCTTCACTCTTCCAAGTTCACTCCTCCAAGGAAGTTTAACTGTGCTTTAAATACCCTGGAAATAATACTATCTATCCCTAAATACTAGTAATGCTCAGGAAAAGGTTACCTTTATAATGGCAGTATTCTTCTCTAGCAACTCTTTAAAACTATAAATGGAATCAGATGGTATCTAAAATTCACCTGTCCCGAAGACTACGTGTTTTTGCTTGGATAATCCCCAAATCCCACAAGGCTGGGTTTTTCCGAGGATCATTCATCTTATGGCCATATACTTCAATTGCCAATGCCCCTTCTGAAAGATGCTCAATGAAGTCTTCAGTAATGTTAACAGAAAATTCCTGAAAGAAAATTACAGAAGAGGAAATACCTTCTGGTAACCTTATGATTACTTATACCTACCATCATCAGAAGTGTTTTAGTTATGTTATAAGACAGAACTGTCATCTAACAGGCATAATGAGTGCTCAGAAGCTCTAAGGTTCTTGACTTTAAACATAATTGTAACTCTGATTTTTTTTAAAAAAAACTTTTCACCTTGAAAATCTGTTGGGAAAGGCCAGCACAGTATTCTATTTTGTTAGCAATATTTGGGAAGCTATTTTTTTTTTTTTTTTTTTACAAATAGTTTATTGTCAAATTAGTTTCCACATAACACTCAGTGCTCATCCCCACAAGTGCCCTCCTCCATGCCCATCCTCCCTCCCCCCCACATCCATCAGTCCTCAGTTTTTGTCAGCATTCAAGAGTCATGGTTTGCCTCTCTCCCTTTCCCCCACCATTTCCGCCCTTCTTCTCCCCCTTGTTCCTCCGTCAAGTTCCTCCTAATCCTCCTATACGTGCAAACATGATATTTGTCCTTCTCTGCCTGACTTATTTCACTCAGCATAACACCCTCAAGGTCCATCCATGTTGCTACACATGGCCAGATTTCATTGTTTCTCATTGCCATGTAGTATTCCATGGTATAGATAAACCACATCTTCTTGATCCATTCATCTGTTGATGGACACTTAGGCTCTTTCCATGTTTTAGCTATTGTGGAGAGTGCTGCTATGAACATTGGGGTACATGTGCTCCTATGCATCAACATTTCTGTATCTTGGGAAGCTATTTTTAAAGTATAAATAATTATCTTAAGAATTCCAAGAAATGAGAGGCACATGGCTGGCTCAGCTGGTAGAGCATGCGATTCTTGATCTTGGAATTTTGAGTTCAAGTCCCACAGTGGGTATGGAGCCTACTTAAAAAAAAAAAAAAGATTTCCAGCAATGATCTACAATGTCTTGATATAAAAGTTATGACATGCAATAAGGTAACGGTGTTAGACTAACAATTTCCCCTAGCGTTTAGGACACTAATTATCTCCAATAACAGGAGAGCAAGAATAAATAATGATTATCAGTGCAAAAAAAAATCCACACAAATTTTAAAATTTCTCCTAATACGTCCATCTTTACAAGATATATGACAGCATTTTGCAATAATTATTAAGCTCTAAAATAGTTTATTTTAAAAAGTCACAAAATCCACACGTTCTCTTGATCTTTAACACACTAAAGGTATTTCTATGTTTTAAACAGATGAGAAAGAGACCTCTCACTTGAAAGAAATAAGATGGATCAACTGCGGTTCAGTAGAAAAAAAGAATAGATAGTCTGACCATCCTGGCTCTTCTAATCACTTGTCACAGGTAAACTGACCTCTCTGAACTGGCTGCTTCTTCTAAAACAAAAAAGCACTATCATCATATACAACTGTGGTAAAGATCAGATGAAGAATAATATAAACTGCCTAGCAGGGTATCAAGTGTTCATTAAATCTCATTATTGTCTCTTTTCTATCTTCATTTTCTCAAAAACACTAGTTTCTTACAATTTTTAGATGACAATCTCTCTAGTACTCGAGTTAACTCAACACACGGATTCCTTTGAGAAGAATATATATGGTTGACCCATGAACAATGTAAAGATTACAAGCACCAAAACCCCACACAGTCAAAACTCCACACAGAACTTTGGACTCCCCCCAAACTGAACTACTAATAGCCTGCCGTTGACCAGAAAGACTTACCACTAACATACACATTTTTCCAAATTTTTAATGTTTATTTTTGAGAAAGAGGGAGACAGAGTGCAATCAGGAGAGGGGCAGAGAGAGAGGGAGACACAGAATTCGAAGCAGGCTTCAGGCTCTGAGTTGTCAGCACAGAGCCTGACATGTGGCTTGAACTCACGAGCTATGAGATCATGACGTGAGTAGAAGTCAGGCGCTTAACTGACTGAGCCACTCATGTGTCCCTAAACAGTTGATTAACACAGATTTTGTATATTATGTATATTCTATACTATATTCCTACAATAAAGTAAACTGGGGAAAAGAAAATATTAAGAAAACTATAAGGAAGAGGTGCCTGGGAGGCTCAGTCAGTTGAGCATCTGATTCTTGATTTCAGTTCAGGTCATGGTCTCATGGTCGTGAGACTGAGCCTCAAGTAGGGCTCTGTGCTGAGCATGGAGCTTGCTTAGGACTCTCTCCCTCTCCTAATCCCCTCCTTGCAAGTGCTCTCTCTCTCAAAATATAAGAAAAATTTTTTAAAAGATATAATATTGATACCAAATTATTCAACAAAATAATGCTCATTTTACAGTTTTGTTTTTGCCAAGGTATTTAAATGTTGACCAAGTCTGGAAAACAAACTTACATTGCAGTGATCAAAGACAACCATGCATTGAGGCTCCTTGCTGACCGGAGAGGAGGAGGAGGTATCAACTTCGGGTGCAACAATTACTGGCTCCTGTTGGTCCCAGAAGTTATATTTGCAGAACACAAAGTGGGACAGATGCTGTGGCAAGCCAGTGGCTTGAAGTATTTTAACCTGAAGGAAAAGGAAGGCTCTATTTATTTTTAACTCAGAAAATGTGCAACAAGTCCTCTGAGTCAGAGATGGGCCCTAGTCTTGACCGTGTCGCCAACTATTGGTTTTTGTTGACCAAATCCCATTCATTCAGAGGTGCTATTTCTGCATCTGTGAAAGGGTGACAACAACTGTCATATTTAGTAAGAGGTTGACCAAAGGGTAACACGACATTGACTTGGATGTTTTCAAGTATCTACAGGCCAAATCTAGCTTCTTATAACAAAAACATCATCATCACCATCAATTTCATCATCATCATCTTATTATTATTATTATTATTATTATTAACAACTCAGAAATGAAAGTTCTCAAACATCAACACCATTCAATGATACGAATTTGGCTAACTATGGATATGTCATAAGAACATAAGAGTGTTGGGGTGCCTGGGTGGTTTAGTCGGTTAAGCGTCCGACTTTCGCTTAGGTCATGATCTCGCGGTTCATGGGTTCGGGCCCCGCATCGGGCTCTGTGCTGACTGCCAGCTCAGAGCCTGAAGCCCGTTTCGGTCTGTGACTCCCTCTCTCTCTGACCCTCCCCTGCTCACGCTGTCTCTCTCTCTCCTAGAAATAAATAAAACATTAAAAAAAAAAAAAGAACATAAGAGTGTTAAGAATGATGAATGAAGAACAAAATCAGCATCCATGCCAATAAGAAATATTCAGTAAAGGGTGAAAAACATTTATTTGGTATTTTAAAGAATAAAAAAGAATAAGTTCTTGGATAGAATGTTACATGCTACTAGAGGATTTTCTGGGAAAATTTAAAATGCATTGGGAATGTATACTTTGATTATCTGGAGGGATAAATAGAGGAGATTAAAGATGGTGAATGATGACCATCTCTGTACCAACTCTTACTGACTGCCTCCTCCACACAGATTCAAGGAAGAGATGAATCAAAAATAATGCGCCCTGGACTACAGGACTGTAGGCTTTTGTGATAACAACATGCAATTAGAAATATGTCTAATCCAGGGCACTTGAGTGGTTTGGTCTGTTAAGTGTCCAACTCTTGATCTCAGCTCAGGTCTTGATCTCAGGGTCATGAGTTCAAGCCCTGTTTTGGGCTCTGCACTGAGCATGAAGCCTACTAAACAAAGGAGAAGAAGGAGGGAAGGAAGGAGGGAAACAGGGAAGGAAGGAAGGAAGGAAGGAAGGAAGGAAGGAAGGAAGGAAGGAAGGAAGGAGGAAGGGAGGGAGGGAAAGAAGGAGGGACGGAGGGATGGAGGCAAGGAGGAAGAAATACATGTCTAATCAGACCAAATGTGCCAGGAATAAACACCCATAATGGATTTTAAAGCAGTCAAATATTCTAAATATTTCTTCTGGCAGGCAGTGTCAAGTTGATTTTTAAGCTGGAATTTTTGTGATAAGTTGTAACTTTCCAAAACTCCTCTATTATGGAAATAAATTCTAAAATTAATTGAGCAAAACTAAATTCCGATTTTATAAATGATTAGGGGCTGACTTTCAAGACTGAAGACTGATTATTTGTTATGTCCTTCACCTAGTCACTTCCTACATGTTGTATGATGCACTGTGCCTCCAGTAAATAAATTTAATAAAAATAAACTTGAATATGTGGCAGAAGTTGGTGTAGTTCAGCAACTACAAATATAAGCATCTTAACATTTCAGGAAGCATTAATAATAACACAGAATACCAAGCAAAGCAGAGGACTATTTTCTCCTACACCAGGTACACAACAGGTAAGCAATGGTGGAGAACTATTATTCTTCATTATTCCGAACAATGGCAACAAGACTTCGAAACTTTCAGATAGCAATTCCCTGGACAGGCTACAAAAAAGATAGACTAACTAATGTATTTTATTCATCCAAACCCAATAGAGGAATCAGGTTTTGGCAATTAATTTTTGTTAAACTTAAAAAATGATCATTTTTTCATTAAGTATTTAAAATTTTTTATTATATTCTTTAAGGTGAGACAATGCGGTGTTTGAGAAGATTACAAGATTTTTGTTGAACATAAATCTAAATAAAAATCTCTGTCACATGTTAGCTTCTGCTTTTGAGCAGATTAAATTCTTGGTTTTCTCAGGTTGAGATCTTTCCTATGTGAAACAGGACAGCTACCTAATGTTGGCTTGAGTACTGACCATACCAATGGAATGAGATGAAAAAAAATCGAAGCACTGAGCGGACAGATGTTCGATACATATTCTTTGTGATAAAATTCCATCGGAAAGCCAATTTTTTCTCTTAGAAATCAATCTCAATTTTAAGGTTGAAATAAATTAAAAAGATTTCATACGCTGAACTATATCTACAGGCAGCTAATCAGGAATAAGACTGCCAGGAATAAAGAATATCAGGAATGAGGAATATCCTGACATCCAGATCATAGTTTTTGGGTCTTTTTGCTTTTTAAGTTTCTGCATACAGAAGTCACAATCACCACAAGGTGTCAGAATATCACAGATTTCGACTTGACACTGCTCAGTAAAAAGTCCAGGAATTTGAGAAGACAAATTGTTTGGGGTTTTGAAATATACTAATTTAATTTGATGTAATTGAAAATACCAATTATGCGAATATGTGCACATTTATCTTCCACCACAGAAAAATAAATCCAGACTGCTTTTATAAGCTGGCGATACTTATCATCTAGTATTATTAAGTGTCCCAGGATGATTTCTTTTGTTTCTCTCACCAACATTTTGTTTATGGTCATATAGTCTGTCTTCTTCATTTTACACAAAAGACTATTTATATGCTTAGAATATGGTCTCTAAAAAACACTTCCCACTGAAAGGAACCAGACTCCTTGGAGAAATAGCTGACTCCAGGTCTGGGACAGGAAATGTCCAGGATGAAACTAGAATATTCACCACACCAGAAAGCAAGAAAGCTAGTGGCACAGTCTATGAGGGTTCAGGTTATGTCCAAAGGACTCAAGAGACAACTAAAGAGGAGCCCAAAGAGGTTTTGGGATCATTTGAGCTTCAATATAGGTAATAAATACAATGGATTGAAACACATAAAAAATGTTTAAATCGAAGAGTTCACAACAACATTTGGACTAAAAAAAAAAAAAAAAACTCACTGGCCATTTTTGTATGTTAGTGGGAAAAGCAATTAATTATTTTTGAAAATTTGTTTTTAAAAAAAGGAGAAAAGAATGGAACATTTACCCTGCCTTTCCTGTACAAACTGAATCCGTATGAACAAAACAGCTGCTATAATAGGAAGATTCTCTCTAAAATCAAGAGGAGAATTCTGTTTTTTAAATATAATTTCTTATCAAATTAGCTAACATACAGTGTGTACAGTGTACTCTTGGTTTTGGGGTAGATTCCTATGGTTAATTGCTTATTTACAACACCCAGTGCTCATCCCAACAAGTGCCTTCCTCAATGCCCATCACTTATTTCCCTTCTCCCCCATTCCCCCCATCAACTCTCAGTTTGTTCTCTGTATTTAAGAGTCTCTTATGGTTTGCCTCCCTCCCAAGAATCTAGAGAATAATTCTAGCTAATAAATGAGGGGTGACAGAATTATAGTATCATTCTTTCCTAACTCCTAATGAAATATTTAGGTGATGATCATCAATAATTGCTAATATCTCCAAAAGAAAAACAGACATAATATGACTTCTGATGGAAGAACAGATCACCACCTATAAAATGCCCTTGCTACACCCCTTCCCCATATTATCACATTCATACCTAACTACCAATGTACAGCCAACACATCCTAACACATTAAATAATGCCAATCAGCAAAATCTAGATTATGAGATAATACAAGACCAAGAAGCCAGTTTCTACTTTAAAGAAACTATAGGGTAAGAGAGAGAGAATAGGAGAGGAGCAAGCCAGCACCAGTGCCTAAAGATTAAGATTTAAGTGACACATCACACAAGCCAAGCCAATCAAGAACACTGACTGGGTAAATCAGGATATTAAGAAGTATTAATTTTATTTATTTTTTAATGTTTTATTTATTTCTAGGAGAGAGAGAGAGAAACAGTGTGAGCAGGGGAGGGTCAGAGAGAGAGGGAGTCACAGACTGAAACAGGCTCCAGGCTCTGAGCTGGCAGTCAGCAGAGAGCCTGACGCGGGGCTCGAACCCATGAACCGCGAGATCATGACCTAAGTGAAAGTCAGACGTTTAACCGACTAAGCCACCCAGGCGCCCCAAGAAAGTATTAATTTTAGATTATGGTACAATGGTTATTTTTTTAAGTACTCTTCTTTTGGAGATACATACTCACTATTACAGATGAAACATGATGTCTGGAATAGCTTCAAAATAATCCAGGGGAAACAGACAGCACAGAGCAGCTTGGGCATATGAATGAGACACGACTGACCATGAGTTGATAATGTGGAGGGAGGGTGAATAGGGATCAATAACATTTTTCTCACTACTTTTTTATGTTTGATATCTTCCATTAAAATTTTTTTGAAGCTATTTTAAATTATTTTTTTAAAGCTTATGTTACCCACTATATACTACTTTTTCAGTTCTGACTTTCCCAAGTGCAACTGTATCCGTATATGTTACCTTACTGATGGTAAACTTTTACAGAGTTGCATTTACTAGTCCATCACTTTTAAAAGGAGTCATTATTGAGTCATCAAGCCTATGTCTCAACCTTTGATAACCATACAACCTCAGAGAAAATGTTCTAGCATCAAGAATAATACAATAAGGATTAACCTTTTAGTGAATTAAGAATTCCCCCCCCCCCACATTCTGAAGTATCTGACTTAAACACCCAAGGCCTTCATACATACAAAGACCCACAGAAAGGAGCACATCTTTAACAGCTGTATGCAGCTTCCCTATAGCTCACAGCGAATGCCTCACTTACTCCTTTCGGCAGTAATTCCAATTCCAGAAATATTTACTGAGACATGGAACTGGACCAAGGATGGCTTATGAAATACGAGTTAAGTTTAGGCTTCCTTCACTGCATCTTTTAATGGCCGCCTTCTTACTTATATACTGGTCTTATAACCAGTGGATATCTCTTCCTTGAAAACCCTTTTAACTGGGTCCTACAGAGATTCTCAATTAATGACACACTGGCCCAACTAGAGTGTGCTTGGAAATATACAAGGGGTTTTTTTCATTGTTGTAATGAGTGACAGAGATGGCACTAACTACACTGATTGGGTGGGAGTTCAGGAATGTAATGACCTACTTAAGATCTACCTAGCTATCACCCATGAAAATACCACAGTACCCTATGGAAAAAGAGGTTTATATCACATGCTCCTCTGCTTCAAGTTCTCTCTGAGTCTCACTTCCAGAAATTTTCCTCAGACTTTACTCTCTGAATTAATTGTCACATGATATTGGACTCTTGTGTGTCCCCTCCACACACACACAAACTACACAGGTTGCCCCTGGACACTAAAAATCCTGTCTTATTCATCTTTATAGTCTCAGCACGAAGTCTGACAGATAACACTCGACAGTACTTATGAATGGCATGCACAGAAAGACCAGAAAGAGCAGGGTTTGAGATCAGCAAATGCTGGAATAGCACACACAAAGGCACAGGGGTAAGGGGAACAAAAAACAAGTGGAAAAACATGTGAAGGGTGACTTCTATATAACAGGAGCTTAGGAACAGAAACAAGACTGGGATAAATCTCTAGCATCAGCAGAAGTCAAGAGGTCCAATAGGAGGAAGAAATTCATGTGAAAAAAACCAGTGTTTCTCTACAGAGAAGTTCATATAAACATAAATCCATATAACTTTGGAGCAGAATCGCCCAGAAGAAAGAGGTGACTTATCTGAAACTTCACAGAGGAAGTCACTGGAAGTGCCTCACTGGTAAATCAGTATATATGATGAAATACGGTCTCCAGAATACCAATACTAAAGATTTATTTAGAGACAGGTATTTTAAAATTCAAAAGAGAACACAATATTTATTGTCTAAATGCCCACAATCCTCAAATCCACCATATGTCCACTACTTCTAAATTAACTGGGGCTTACCATGCACACAAGTCTATTCTCCTGGGCTTCCTTTTCACAGGAGAGATCTGCGGTGTCATCACCCCCAGCAATTCTTTCCCCAATGTCACCACTGATCCGCATCACCTCTACATGCAGCCGACCTGCCACCTGTAACAAGAGAGGAAAAGCAGGTACTCTTCCTGGATTTTGTTATTTCTCCTGTTTTATAGTCAAGTGGTTGCATTAATGGTAAATGAGAATTTAGAAGCATAAGTTCTAACAGTTACTTTCCCTCAACATACTTGGAATACTCACCACCAAGCAGACGGAAACACAGATATTAATAATACACATAAGTAACACTTATTATTGATGAAAAAGAGTCACAACAAAATACGGCCACCACCCTAATGTTTCTTAAACTTTTCTCGGCAGAATACAAGGCATGAAGAGAAAACCAACCTCTCCTTTCTGGTTGACAATTGGAACAGCATACTGTAACTTCACATCATAGAAGAGGGACTCGAGGAAGACATTTGCCACCCCAATGAGACAGTGATTTTCCTGCTCATCATAGAATGGATCAGCACGCTTGAAGTAGGACCGTATGACCTTTAAAGAGATTCAGGACATCGCAACTTCAGAAATCACTTTTTAAAACAAATTAATTCAACCTACTACCACTTTTTCATGGCCGCTAAGAAAGTCATCAAACTCAGCTTAAGTACAACACTGGATCATACCCACTCTCTCTTCCTCATGCCCATCAGAATGGGGATCAGCATCCTCCACCCATGATAGAGCCATCTCAGTAGGGCACTACTTTATTTCTTCTCCTTTATGTGGAAGTCTTGCCATGAAAATAGAGAGCACACACTGGCTAGAAAAAGAGGTCGAGTGTACAAAAGTGCTCCTCAGTCGTCACTCATACCTATGCCACTTGTTGCTGCCAAACCATAAGATAATGGTGCTGCTAACGAGAGCTGACATATGCAAGAGTGGATTGCTTTTTTGTAATTTGTTAATGTTGTTTTATATCTAGGCTGAAATACAAGAGAAATACAGAAGAAAAGAAAAGAAATGAAGGAAAAATGTCATCTAACTATAAAAAGCCAATTTTATGACAATCTGGAAAAATAAACATTTTTTTAAAAAAACAAGAGGCTAAGGAAGTAAACAACTCTATGTGGAAACAAGACTAGCAGTGTTGAAAGTTGTAAAAAATATAGATAATATGTATTTGTATTAAATATGCACAAGTATGTGGCTAACCTAAATGGGAAAACCTGCAACTTGCGGAGAAAGTTCCAGAGTACAGCTCTATATTATCCACTTTAGGATCAAAATGCCTTCAAAATCTGCTCTTAATAGTATAAATATTAAGGTATCACTGATGTTCTATTCAAAAAAGAGATACTGTAGGATACTATTTGCTGAGTTAGATGTGTGGAAAAGTAGGAAGAGAGATAATAAGGCATGGTCTCTTTCCTAAGTAAATTCCCAGTCCTGCACAGGAGCAGACACTCATGACAACTTCAGATGTCAGAATGGAATGTAAAGATTCTACAAGTAATCCACAAAATGGGGAGAGGAAAGAAGATTCTTGATTAGCAAAACAATTTAGAAGGTTAAAATAGGTATTATTCTAGAAAAAGGATTACTATTTTAGAAAAATGGGACAGTTCTTCCCTAAAACAGTTAGGCTCTTTCCTGCTTGGTTCTAAAATTGACTACTGGTTAGGTCATTTTTCTCAGACAACTTACTGGAGTATCTTCTTCACACTCCTTCCACTCCTGATAAAGGTCTCTCATATCCAGCAATCTGTTGTCCAGTTTTTCTAAAGACCAAATCTGTTTTCCTTTTCCTTTTCTTCTCACCTGGATTGCAGGCTCACTAAGAAGAGAGCCTCGCTGTAAAACAGTACTCATGACCATGTGAAACACAAAGATATCCATCAGGAAGTCAACCCTGACCATTCTCCACCCACCAGTCAAATGTCATCAACCCAAACTGAAGCTGTTATCATCCTTTATTCAGTTCACTGTAAAACTTCCCAGAAACTTGCAAGCTTAATACAATGCCATTATATTCCATTGCAATCAAAATTTAAGTATATAAATTAGATGTAATTTATAAAGCAAATTTACATAGTAAACTATTCATACAGTAAATTGGATATAAATTTAAATCTAAAACCTAACAGACTAAATCATGTTTAATGGGAAATCAAAAATGTTTTATTCAGGCCATCATATGACCAGAGAGTACCACTGGGTAGAAAAAGAGTCATAAGCATTGAATGGGAAGGGAAAGTTTGCTGGGATGGATAGCTAAGAAACGGATCTTTTACTTTCAAAAGTTTGAATTAAAAAATTTTTTTGAATGGGTAGTATGTTATGTGGTACAAAACATAAAATGTTTAAAAGAGTAAACTGTGAAAAGAATCCCATTTACCCATTTGGAGGCAACAAATGACACTGATATATAAATACACATAGCTTAAATTTAAAATTTAAAAGAACAGTATAGAACTAGATAGAGATGATAGTCACACAACACTGTGAATGCATTAAAGGGCACCAAACTGTTTGCTTTAAAATGGTTGATTTTATGTTATGTGAACTTCACCAGAAAAAAAAAAAAAACACTAGAATTTAATGAAGCTTTTCCAGCTTATAAAAACAATGTGTTTATAGAAAAAGGTTTATTTTGTTTAAAAAAACCTTTTTTTAATGTTTTATTTAGTTTTGAGAGAGAGAGACAGACAGAGTGCAAGCAGGGGAGGGGCAGAGAAAGAGGGAGACATAGAATCTGAAGCAGATTCCAGGCTCCAAGCTGTCGGCACAGAGCCCAATATGGGCACAAACCTATGAACTGTGAGATCATGACCTGAGCTGAAGTGGGTCACTTAACTGACTGCACCACCCAGCAGCCCCTAGAAAAAGTTTTTAAAACCACAAAATAGAAATAAAAATACCCCTGTGTATCTCCCCCACAGAGATGTCTCTATCAGTTACTCATCAATTTAAAATATTTTTTTTTTTTTTTTTTATTTCTAGGAGACAGAGAGAGAGAGAGAGACAGCGTGAGCAGGGGAGGGTCAGAGAGAGAGGGAGACACAGACTCTGAAATAGGCTCCAGGCTCTGAGCTGGCAGTCAGCACAGAGCCCGACGCGGGGACTCGAACCCACGAACCGCGAGATCATGACCTAAGCGAAAGTCGGACGCTTAACCGACTAAGCCACCCAGGCGCCCCGTCATCAATTTAGATTCCGTAGATAATTTGTCAACTGTTTGGATATGCCTACTCAGAACTTTAGGGGATTGCGAATACACCAATGTTGCTTTAACACACCAATGTTGCTTTAACATCTTGCCTATGCTCATTTTCAAAGAAACAGAATTTACATGACGAAACAAAGATTTTAGAATTCTGAAGCTCAAGAATTACCATTCTCTCATACTATAAAGACCCTTCTACCTTGTACTCAGCCAACCAGGGAATAAATACAAAAAGCTCATCAGCGGTCTGCATAGACTGGTATTACAGGCGGAGAATGCTAGAACCAGGAGGAAATGGCAACCAGCAATATGCTGAAGCATCATGACTTGGCCCTCCTGCAATTACAGGAAGAACTGGAAAAAAGAAAAAAAAAGAAAGAAAGAAATTTCTGCCTCTCACCAAAATCACCAGAGAGAGGCTAGTACAAGGTCAGGAGTAAGACCAGAACAAACAACAGTGCTAATAGCATGAATAGGACATTAAGTGAAATGAAGAGTTATCAAGTACCAAAAACAAAAGGTTTCACTGTATAAAAGAGTTAAGGCCCTTATTTAAGGAGACTCTCTCCTTAAGAAATACTTCCTTGTCAAGCTCCTCTCTCCAGGTGAAATCTGAAAATATGAATCTAGTAAGTCTCTAATAGCAGTGTAGATTAGTAGCCGTCTGTTAACCATGGCTTCTTCAACTCCAGGGATATGTATCATCTCACTGCCCATACAAACAGCCCCTATGAACATACTTCCAGGTGTCTGGGGAGAGGGATGCCCAAAATGACCCACGTCACTTCTAGGTGTTGACCTGGCTGCCCAGAGACAGGGTTGACCCTTTCAACAAAGTCAGAGCCAGGATACACAGAAAGGGCTACAGACAGTCATGCCTAATGGGGAAAATGTTTATGTTTCTGTTTTTCCAGCTCAAACACTACAGAATGGAAGAAGACCTTGATCTACTCAGTCTTCTAGAAGAATCTAAATACCTTCTGTCCATGATTGGCTTTCCTCTACTGCTTTTTGTCCGAGTCCCACTGCACCCATGGTTTGCCCTACAGATACCGACAAGCAAAGTAACGTTCTAAGTACATATTACATACAAAATATATATTAAAAGACAAGTCTCAGGGCACCTGGCTGGCTCAGTCAGTTAAGTGTCCAACTCTTGATTTTGGCTCAGGTCATGATCTCACAGTTCATGAATTTGAGCCCCATGTTGGGCTCTGTGATGACAGCATGCAGCCTGCTTGGGGTTCTCTCTTCCTCTCTCTTTCTCTGTCCCTCCCCTCTATGTGCGTATGCATGCTCTCTCTCAAATAAACATTAAAAAAAAAGACAAATTTTCATAAAGCAATGAACATACCACATCCACAATACCTGTATTACTAAAAACATTAAGTATCAGATTTGCCAAATTTCTATTCTAAAGAAACATTGACCTTGATGTTGTAATGCCACGAGAAAAAGATAGATGTGGTCCTTGCTATCAAATTAGAACACCCAACAAGGATTCATGAACCCTTTGCTGTGTCAAGTACTGTAGGAGAAACAAAGTACATAGATCCTCAAAATATTTATCTGAAGACAACATTCTACCTATCATCAAAAATTATGTAGGAACTTGATTGAGAGCTAGAAAAGAGCTGAAATAAAAAAGAAAACACCTGAATGGCAAGGATACAAAATTCTGATGGGACTTTCCCTCTATATTTTATTAAGCTTATTACAGTACACCAAAAATATCTGTGATCATGAATACACATATGGAACAACTAATAAATAGTTTTGCAGAGCAATCTGTTAGCAAGTGAAAATAACATGGTATATGTAAAATAAACAGGTAACTTAAGGAGGAGGGGGTTGTACAGTGATAACAGAATGAAGGGGAAACACCACTTTCAGAAGATTCATCAGGAAAGACTTCCCAGAAATCATTTAAACAAATATGAAGAAAGGGTGTTGAGGGAAATAAATTGATAGGGTGTGGTGGGTAGAGGTAGAGATGACATTCTAGTGGACACAGGACATATACACACAAAGGCAGATAATTAAAAGCAAACTCTACTGGAGAGCGGAGAACAAGTACAAAAGGATACAGACTGCAGAAAGTGTAGGTGGGGAGGAGGGCAAACCCACACTGGTGTTTAATAACACTGGTGAAATAGACAGCAGTTTTCCCCAATGACATCTTTGTCTCCTCCATTAACAGCGACCTCACCTTCCTGTTGGCATCCAGGCTGGAGGCTGGAATCTGCAGCGTTACTTTATATTCGGTTCTTTTATCCAGTTCCTCTGCAATGTAACTAGCTTCTCTCACCAACAGATTGGCTTTAACAATTTGTTCCCTCAGCCTCATCAGGCTGTTATTCAGTGTTGCTTCTCTTTAAAAAAGAAAGGGGGGGGGGAAGGAAGGGGAAGAGGATAATTGTCAAGCAGCATTATCAGAATATTATGTACTACATAATATGTTAATGCCAATCTGAAAACCAAGCTTTACAAATGCCTTTTGCACACAGGGAATTACATTACTGACACCGATCCATGCACGCGCTTGTATTCAGGCTACAGACACGCTCACGTAACAAGCTGGCCATTGTAACAAGCTGGCCATTGATTAGGACAGTGCTAAATTGACTGCACATACAAATCACCTGGGAGTCTTGATAAACCAAAGATTCTGACTCATGAATTCTGGGGTGAGACCTATTATGCTACACTTCTATCATTTACCACCTGAGAGAGATGCTGCCTGTCTGCAGACCAAATTTAGAATAGCAAGAGGTTAGTTAAGTATAATCTGTAACCATGGATGAGACATTTTAGTGCAATGCTAATTAGCCCATATAGAGATCAAACTTGCAATCTGCATCTCAATAGCACCATGCTTTACCTACCTGAGCTAATCAGTCCAGATTACCACCTTTCTTTTTTTTTTCCTTTTTTTAAAAAGCATCTACCCAAGCTTCAGAACCTAAAGTATAATACAATGATAAAGTATAACTTCTAAGTACAAATACTTGTTTATTCAAATCCAAAAGCCATACAAACTAAACTGGGGCAGCACCTAACATGGGCAACTTTAAAGAAATCGCTATAAATTGGTAATTCCCATTTCTTTGAAAAATGAAAAAAAATAAGATAATGCCAAATGATTCTTAAGCTGTAACGCTCTCCTTTAATTTAATTTTTTCAAGCAAAAAAATTCTCCACACTGGAGCTGATCTGGGTGGGTTACAGTGACGGGCACTGTCTATGCATGTGTAATAAAGGCCCTATGCACCTACCTCTCCTCGGCCCACTGTCTCAGTCGCTGTTGAGCACTGGGTGAGTGGAAAGAAAACCTGTCCCCACTACGACAGTTTTGTTTCTCAGGAGACAGCCTTCTTCGTAGCTGCTCCAATTCATGCTCATACATAAGCCTCTGGCGCTCTAATGCAGATCGTTTCTCTTCTTCATGCTGCTGTTCTAGGCTGTTCAATATGGACTGCATTGGATCTAAACAAAGGTTTTTTAAAAAGATAAATAATGAACAAAAGGTAATCATACAACACAATATATTTCAAACACTGTTCTGTATATTGCTATGCTGTTTGTCACCCTAATTAGTTAAAAGACGACTCTTGAAGACGGTTTGGGATAAACTCAGTTTTCCTTACTCCTAATTACTCATCATATCATCTATTCTTGTCAGAGATATGCCAAACTGTCTCCCATACAGAAAAAGCAGATCTATTGTGTGTTCTACACATAACCTAAGAATGGCAGTCAAGTGTCAAACCTGAGAGATTCTACCACTAAGAAAAAGTTGGCAGTGATGTGTAATCAAGGCTGAAATAACGAAAAGTTTATATAAATGTAACAAATTAAGGCCAAGGACACAAAAGAATAGAGTACAGAGAATAACATAAAGATTTCCTTTTTTGGTTAATATTTAAAAGGTCTCAATCACAAACATGTTTAACTCTCCATTGACTTTAAAAGATTCTAAAATGCACAACAGATCTGCTCACCATTATTACCCAGAGCCTTCATGGTAACCTCCATCTGTGCATACTCATAATTGAAGTTGATTTCACTGGACACCTCACTGGAGGAGTCTCCGTCTACATCCAGCTGCTCAGAACTGGTATCATTCTTCATGGAGCTGTCTTGTTCCTCATCCTCTCTATCTGCTTTCTTTTTCTTTTTAGGCAAATTCAGTCTTGGGAGAAAAAAAGAATATTATTTTTAAAATAAAGATAGGCATGTATTCATTCCATTCATTAAATACTGGTATTTGCTAGACGCCAAAGGGGCACCATTTAACTGTAAGGCAATTACTATACTCAGAAAGTTTATCCCCTAGTAGTAGAAATACACACACACGTATGTGCAAATAAGTTACAAAAGACAGTGTGACTCAGGGCCACATGACTGTAACAAGCAAGGTGTTGAAGAAAAGCTGACGAACACTGGAATAACAACGGAAAGGATGACAGAGTAGGAAGTCATTTGAGGTGAGAAATGATAAGGAGAAAGCAGGGCATTAGGGCAGTGGGAACAGCATGAGAAGAGATGTGGAAATGGAAACTCCCATAGTCTGGAGAAATTATGAATAAAACAACACAGGGACACACAAAATTTGTATTGCAGTAATGGTGGCAGATAACGCTGCAAAGATAAATTTATCCCAAACTACGAAGATTTTGAAAACCAAAACAAGCAATTTATACTTGATTTAGCTTGAGAAGGAAAAATATGAAAAATATTTTCCACATACTTTGTACCCCTCTACCCTTTCCTCAGTAACCAAAATATCGAGTGGCCTATAAGCAAAGGTCTCCATTAGCTATAAGAAAAGTCAGCTGATATTCCAAGCAGGGTGACCAGTGACAGGAAGAGGAAAAGACCAGGATTCTAATCCTGTACATATCTAGCCCTCCCTTCCTTGGCAGCATAACACCAGTTTTCTATGGGAAATAACATGTGTCCTGGGACACACGTGTTCTCAGATTCCCTTACAGCTAAGAGGCAAATTCTAGCAAATGAGACAAAAGTGGAAGGTTGCTGAGGACTCTGGGAAGACTTCTGCTTTTTCTGGTCCAGAAGACAGTCAGGGCTAGTATCACCATCCATCTCCCTCATTTTCTTCATATGTTCCCAGAAGCTGCTTTCATTCCTGGAATGGTGTAGCCATCTTTAGACCACAGACCACAGAAAAATGCCAAGACAATGAGACAGTGACAAGACTTCTGCTGTGACAGTTTTGAAAGGCTTATCCAATGCTAACAACTATCCACCTTTGGATGTCTTATTTTGTCAGTGAAACAAACTGTTTAAGTCATTATAATAGTCAAGTTTGCCATTACTTGCAGAGGAAAACATTCCTAAATGAAATTCGAATTTTATTTCATGAAGAAGGAAACTAAAAGAACTACTTTTCCAACAAAAAATAGATAAAAAGATAAGCGTGTCAGAAAAAAAATTAATGAATTCTTATACCAGATGGCAAAACAATCATCTTCCATTGGGAAATGAAAAGGGAAAAATAAGTTAACTCCTTATTTTCCCAGAGTATAGTGTACATATGCCTCTCAGGCTCAAACCATATAGTGAACAAAACATATACAGTCAATAAATAATATGTACACAAAACAATGTATCATTTTTATGGAGTTAAGTTTACCTTCTACTATATATTCTTCTATTTCAGAGTACAATCTTCAACAATCTCTCTTTAAGAGCCATGAATAATGTCATACCTGAAGAAGTGGTTGTTTCCCCATAATATCCTGTCCCCATGGTGTAGCTGTATAGGACTAGACACGGAAGAGCCATTTACAAATGTTCTGTGGGAAGAAGACGTCAAATACGCAAACAATGATTATCATGTTTTTTCCTTTAAAATACTGTAGAGGTCTAGTTACCATGAAAAATAAAATAATCAATTCTCCAAATTGATTCCTGGTGCATTTTATTATTTGTATTTACTTCTTTGCTGATTTACCTAAAAAGTTTATGGTACTAAGTATAATGTATTATTATCCTCTACTTTTCAAAGTTTCAACTTTGATATGTAGTATATTCTATAAGGAGTAAATATGGAACCATTATAGTCAATAATAAAAAGCTGGTAGTAGCATACATTATAACTCAAATTATGTCCAATCTACATGGATAAGAGCCAGTCAACCAACTAGAATCTACAAATACCTACATATATCAGTAATAAGAAATGAGACCTATGCTAAAATCTTCTGTAACTTCCTAGAGAACAGAAAAATCATTCATATCCTATCAATATATAAAAGACTTGTCAGGCCTACTTGACTGCTTATCTTGACAATGGAGTTCAACAGACAAGTGGATGGAAGGATACGAAGAGAAGAATATGCAGGGCAGAAAATAAACAGAAAAATTATGCACACCGCAATAAGACTGATATTCCTGGAATTATCAGTTTCATCAAACCTCCTTCCTGCTGAAGGACTCATTTGCTTAGACACAGGATAAAGGTCAAGTTCTTTAACTTGATTCTCATGTTATCAATTTGGGGAATTGATATTTTATTTTTCCCCATAAAAAGAAGCCCTCTTTATTCCCTTCTAGTGAATTCTCAACTCTAGCCAAAAAAAAGGTTTATGTTCTGTCTACTGAACATGATTGACTGACTCTTCTTTCAAAGCTAGGCTTATATCAGTCCTGCAACCTAGAACAGAGTTCCTGTCCCGCTCTATTCCCCCCAAGCCCTACTCAGCTTTCTAAGCGCAGTTGGGTTTCAGCTTTGTCTATAAAGGCTGCTCATTACCCCAGCCTACAGTATCTTAGTTTCTTTGCTATCCTAAGCACTACCTGGCTTTATATTGCTAATTACTTTTTATGTATATGAAAACACACAAAATCTTACTCTCTGTATTTAAATATCACTTGCCATGTGGGTTTTTAAACACTAAAAGTAATTGGTCCTTCTATAGTCTGATTATTTAAATCTTGAGCTCAAAACATATAACAAGAGGGAACCTACTAAAATTAGCATATTTTAGCTTTTATGACACAAATTCCTTAAATACAATGAGGAGTTTAATTAAAGGCAAACATATATAGAGGCTTATTTTTAAAGGCTAAAGCAGTTAAGCCAGAATTAGTAAATAAAGGCATGAATATAATAACAGTTTTCAAAGTGTGGTCTCTGTGGGGTCTCCAAGATCAAAACTATTTTTATAATAATGCTAACCTGCCCTTTTTCACTGTGTTGACATATATACCTGCAATGAGTACAGCTGCTGGTGTTTTAGCACAATCCAAGGCAGTGGCACCAAACATTACTAGTAGTCACTAGACTACTCACTGCCATGCACTCACAAATTTTAAAAAATGTTTCCTTTGAGGATGTCCTAGATGAAGCAGTAAAAATTACTTTTTCTTTTAATCTTGACCCTGAGTTAAGATTTTTTAAACATTTCAGGTGACAAACAGGAAGTACATAAAAAGCACTGTATTCATTCATACCAAAGAATGAAGACTGTCTTGAGCAAAAGACATACACAAAGTGGTATTTGGGGCAGATATTTTCTTGCAAATGAACAAAATGAGGAAACAACTAATAGTACTTGTTGCCAACTGTAAACTTCAAGTGAGAACTGGAATTTGGAAGACTTGTGTCCGTGTCCTCCACCCAAAGACCTCAAGGAACATTCCTGTAGTGAACATGCACGGGGAGAAGACACAGTCACAGAAAGCATGGGGTGCCTCAGTGAGACTGTGCTGGGAAGGACTGTGGAGGATCTGGGCTTCAGCTGGACGATTTGGGGAGGACTCTGTGAGTGCAGGGTGCTGTACGTACTGGATGCTGTATGATTGGGCATTTCAGAAAATCTTATCTATGGAGGGAGACTCCAATGAAGGTGAAGTTGTGATGAGTGAAGAAATAATCGCTCACCTCAACCAAGAGAAGGTGTTTGGTATCTGGTGTGTGGCAGAGTGACCTTGGTTTTTGTCTGCGCTGAAACAAAATGATGGTGTAGCCTGCTTTGTCTTATGTTATCACAGCCTCAAGAGTAACCTTGCCCAAGGTTGGTATTCTGTGAGATTTAATAGCAGAACGGCATGCCCTAAGATGGGAGTGCCAGGCCCAGCTTCTCCTCTTTTTTTCCCCTTTCTCATCTGCATCCTTCACCATGATCCTTTAAAGACTTTGTGGATCAAATCAGTAATGATGTTAGTGATTCTTCAGTATCACATGATGAAAATGGTCCAACATTTGGAAATTCAATAGAAGTCAGTTAACAGCTATGGTTCATTATATAACTCACAGCCTAAAGAAACAGATTGGAAAAAAATTAACTTATATAATGTTAAGCCTCTTCATTCATTTATTACTTATTGAGCACCTATATACTAGTTTCCTATTACATACTAAGGAGAGAGAACCAAAAAAGAAGAGGCCTTGTCCTCAATGTCCACTGGGGTAATAAAGGCTAACAGACCACAAAAACACAAAGTGTTGACAGGAAGCATAAGGTATATGGGAATATGTACTAAGAGCCTTTCACTTAAACCAAACAGGAAATTCTCCCAAAGTAGATAAAGTCAGAGCTTAACTTTGAAGGTCAAACAGGAATTAGCTGCCCAAAGGAATGGCAGACATAGAGGAATGAGAGACAAAGAGGAGAGATGTAAGGGATATTGTATCAAAAATAGCAGAAAGCCATCTGGCTGTCTGGTGAGTGACCCAGGAAAAAAGGTTCCAATCAAGATTTGATGAGGGCCTTATTTAAATAAGGCCACAAGAATCCGTATAGACAGAGGACATGGGTTAAGAGGTATTAAAAAGTTAAATGTAAAGCCTTGGTAATGAACTGAATATCTTCATTAAGTGAGCTTAAAAGCAGAGGCCAAACATCCTGTATAACATCCACAAGTAGTGTACTTTCTTCCTCTTAAAAATTATTGTGACATTAGCATTAATTAAAGTACATTACCTGGTGTTCTTCTGAGGAGTCAGCATAACCTGGCCTTCTGCTATGATATCTATTATACAGTGTTCAGGAAGAATTCCCATTCCACATAGCTGGATATCTTGGGAATTTGCTGACCCTATCAATGTATGTTCCTACAAAAGAATCAAATTCACTGATTAACATCATATTCTTACATATATAGAAAATGAAATCATCTCCGCTGAGCCCTCTTATATTGATCCATTACCTTAGCTAAATGATTTTCTTAGGCAAATGGAATGGGGTAGGGGGAATTTCTGGCTTTCTCTGAAATACATCTACAAGTTTTATTTCCTTATAAGGAATAATGTACTGAGTTGAGTTATACCTCTTAAACCTAAAGCTATAGTTTTATATTAATGTCTATACTATATTCATTATTTTCCACTGCAATCTTGATTCCAAATATTTTATACTACTCTCAGAACATGAGCCATGTGTCAATGATGTACCAAAAATATTGGTCTGAAAACCACAGTTACTTAAGTTGTACATCACATATCTGGACTCAATCAAGATGAGTCAACCAAAAAGATAAAAAGCTATTCAAATCTAAGCATTTTGAAAAGATTACAATTATTTTATGAATCCCATGGTCTCCCTAATCCTCACAGAAGATATGATAGATGTGTTCTTCTTACTGTAGAGCCACAATTACTCAATTCTTGAAGCCCCAATCACCAGCCTTGCTTTCTGGGCTGGCAACTGAGAAAGTGGATATAAAAATCAGGCTCCCTGATTTTGCACTTCAACATCTGACTGTCCATACATAATTAAACGTTGATAAAACCTAGATGCGTTCCTAGGCCACCACCTCCTCGCATACATCTGGATCAGGGGTCAGATACAAAATATGTTAAGCTTTGCAAGTCATGTAAAACCACTCAACTCTGTCTCATAGTGTGAAAGCAGTCAGACAACACATGAATGAACAACTGTGGCTACTTTCCTATAAAATTTTATTTATGAACACTGAAATTAGAACTTCATATAATTTTCACGTGTTTGAAATATTACAGCTTTTCTAATTTTTTTTCAACCATTTAAACAATGTAAAAACCATTCTTAGCTCCCAGGCCATATAGATGCAGCCAGGGAGCTAGATTTGGCCAGTGGAAATAGTTGCTGACCCCTGATCACGATGACTCCATCCAGTCCCATGGGTTTTAAATGCTGTTGAGACAGGAAAACTAAAGGGACCCTATGAAAAACTGCTTATTTTGCTCCTTTTCCTGCTTCTGTTCTTGCTAGGACCTACATCTCCCTACACATACACATCTTATAGAACAGATAATGTGTCTTCTCAATAGTAAAGGTAAAGGAGTTAATGATTTCTTTGTCTTCCAGCACAACAGACACCATCTAAGGAGTGACCAAGACCACTGATTCATCAAGACCTCTGGCCCTAGCGCATAAGTGGCTTATGGAGGACACCTACACACTCATCTATGTTCCTGGATTCCTGAGAAGACACAAACCTCAGTAAAAACCCCAGGCCTCAAACAAAGATGAGATTTTCCTTTCCGAGTCTCCCAGATGCTCTGCTCTGGATCTGCTCTCTCTATGTCTTCGATAAACTCTGCACAAATCTCCTCTTGGCTTACATTTGATTTCTATCCTGAGTGAAGTCAAGGACCTTCTTGGCTGGTTCTGGAAGGTCCCATCTGGGTCCTAAGACTTTGCCTGCCTGCAACACTGTCTCTATATAAATTAAATTACCAACCAAGAACCACAGGCTTTAGTTCCATTATTTTCCTGCCTCCACTACCACTATTCTAATCTCAATAACCATCGTTTATTGCATACTTGGATGTCTAAAGACATTTCAAAGTGCCTAAATGTCATTCTCAATTTTTCTTTAATGTTTGTTTATTTTTGAGAGAGAGAGACAGAATTTGAGCAGGGGAGGGGCAGAGAGAAGAAGAGGCACAGACTCTGAAGCAGGCTCCAGGTTCTGAGCTGTCAACACAGAGCCCTACGTGGGGCTCGAACTCACAAATGGTGAGATCATGACCTGTGCCCAAGTGGGATGCCTAACCTACTGAACCACCCATGTGCCTCTCTAAATGTCATTCTTTTTAAAAAAAATTTTTTTTAACGTTTATTCCTTTTTGAGAGACAGAGCATGACTGGGGAAGGGGTAGTGAGAGGGAGACACTGAATCTGAAGCAGGCTCCAGGCTCTGAGCTGTTAGTGCAGTGCCAGATGTGGGGCTCGAACTCACTGACTGCAAGTTCATGCCTGAGCTGAAGTCAGATTCTTAAATGACTGAGCCACCCAGGTGCCTTTAAATGTCATTCTTAATGAGATTTGAGTATCTAAAGACATCTCAAAGTGAAAGGGCCAAAGCAGAACATTTGCTCCTCCAACCCCCTCCCAGGGAATCTATTCTACTGCCACCACCCAGGTAGTCAACTAAAAAGGTTAGGTGCTACTGAGCCCTCTCTTTCCCTTACTAGCCTACCCCCGGGTCCGTGTTGATCAGAACACCACTATACACTGTCCCTCCAAAATATAGCAAGAATAGCAAGAATCGACTCCTCTTTCCTCCACCTCTACTATCTATCACACCTTACTCTATTGCTCTGGTGAATACAGGAGCCTCCTACTATTTCTCCACTCCTAATCCCCCAACCCCATCCATTCCCAGCACAACAGCTGATCATGTGCTCCCCCCCCCCCCCCCCCCCCCCCCCCCCCCCCCCCCCCCCCCCCCCCCCCCGCCATGTAAAACCCTCTAGTGGCTTCCCTTTGAACTTCTAATGAAGTCCAAATTCTTACTCGGGCATACAAAAAGACCCTAAGTGATGCGGTCCTGCCTGCCTCTCCTATCCTAGCTCCTACCACTCCGCCTTCTCCTGGAACATGGTAAGGCCGCACTGGCTTTCTATCTGTTCTTTAAGCACAGTAGCTGGTTCCTCCACCTAACCTTGATACTGGTAATTTTTTATCATTTCTATCTCACCTTTTAAGGCAACATTCTCAGAGAGGTGTACCCTGAACTGACACTCAGAAATAACTACCCCTTCACTCTCCTATTTCAATTCCTTACCTAGCACTGACTATGGGTTGGTTTACTATCTGTCTCCACAGCTAGCACAGAAACGCCACAAGAGCACGGAGCAGAGAACAGCCTGACCTGCTCCCCACTGTAATCCAAGCACTAAACACAGCCCTGGCACAATGGGCATTAAATAAATATAAAGGAAAAGTAAATAAATAATCATTTTTCTTCAGATTCAAAGGAAGATGATTCTCTCCTCTTCTTTGCTGTAGTAGGTCCCAGTGATTCCCATCTCTTCTGGGACCTCAATCTCAAGCCCTGACCCACTAGTATTTTCATTTCACCTTTCCTGGGGGTTTCCTCATTCAGCTGTACTACAGTGGTGATTCTAAGGGAACAAAGAGCTGGGATCCAGAGCTTGGTATCCTATTCAATCCCCAGGGAGTATATAAAATACAGAGGACATTCCGTATAAATCTTTACTCTTCACTACTAACTAAGGCTTCCTGGCCAATCCCATACTTTCCTAATCTGGAGAACAGAGTTTGACTGCATGAAACTACAAGTAATGCTTTGTGATGCTCAGTAGCAGGCCTAAAGGATCTATTCCATGCCTATCTCCATTCCCCACTTTGGCTCATCTTTCCCTGTCTTTACAATCCAACCCCATGGTGACGTGAAGCTCCAAAAGGGGCAGGGGGAAAGAGTCTAAAGAGAAAAAGGCCCAAGACCACCTAAAAAGGAAGGAAAAATCACCAAAGCACTTGCCTTGAGCTATATAACCCAGGTTGGGGTTTGAGTCTAGAACCCACTACCATAGTCCAACTACACACAGGTTCAGACCTATGTCTGTGCCCTTGCTCTTGTTCTCTTTGCTAGAAAGGCTCCCTCTTCCCTTTATCTAAATACAAGGGTCTTTTGACATCTCGGTCCAGCTTCATCTTCTACTTAGAAGGAACTTACTTAAACATCATAAAAGCCATCTATGAGAAGCCCTCAGCTAACATCATCCTCAATGGGGAAAAACTGAGAACTTTCCCCCTAACATCAGGAACACTACAGGGATGTCCACTCTCACCACTGTTGTTTAACATAGTGCTGGAAGTCCTAGCATCAGCAATCAGACAACAAAAGGAAATAAAAGGCATCTGAATTGGCAAAGAAGAAGTCAACTTTCACTTTTCACAGACAACATGATACTCTACATAGAAAACCTGACAGACTCCACCAGAAGCCTACTAGAACTGATCCATGAATTCAGCAAAGTTCAGGGTACAAAATCAACGTACAGAAATCAGTTGCATTTTTATACACCAACAATGAAGCAACAGAAAGAGAAATCAAGAAACCGATCCCATTCACAATTGCAACAAGAACCATAAAATGCCTAGGAATAAACCTAACCAAAGATATAAGAGATCTGTATAATAAAAACTATAGAAAACTTATCAAGGAAATTGAAGAAGACACAAAGAAATGGAAAAACATTCCATCCTCATGGACTGGAAGAATAAATATAGTTAAAATGGCATTACTACCCAAAGCAATCTACACATTCAATGCAATCCCAACCAAAATTGCACAGCATTCTTCTCAAAACTAGAACAACCATCCTAAAATTTGTATTGTTGTTGAAAAAATGGAAGTTTTCCTTCTAGAATTTGGATTAGACCTTTGCATGTTTATGTTAATATCTTGTCTCCAGTAATTTTTAATTCAGTCTATCAATAGATACTTAGCATACACAAAACCACAAAAGACCCTGAATAGCCAAAGTAATACTGAAGAAGAAAACCAAAACGGGAGGCATCACCATTCCAGACTTTAGCCTCTATTACAAAGCTGTAATCATCAAGACAGTATGGTATTGGCATAAAAACAGACACATAGACCAATGGAATAGAATAGAGAACTCAGATTTGGACCCAAAAATGTACAGCCAACTAATCTTTGACAAAGCAGGAAAGAGTAACCAATGGAAAAAAGACAGCCTCTTTAACAGAGGGTGCTGGGAGAACTGAACAGCAACATGAAGAATGAAACTAGATCATTTTCTCATACCATAAACAAAAATAAACTCAAAATGGACAAAGGACCTGAATGTGAGAC